CCCAGGCCTAAGCCAAAGTTGGATAGAATGAACGGTAATAACACAGTGGCTCCAACTTGAGCGGTATTTTATACGACAGCCCGCCTACATGTATATGGGATACCGGGATTGCCGCCGTGAGATGAAGTCCCGCCAGGTTCTGTCGTTTAAAGGTGAAGGTGCTTTGCGGATTCCTCTTTTTCCCGTGCTCACTGGCTGTCTTGGAATATCTCAACCCCGAGCACCATAGCAAGTTTTCATTCGGCTATGTGGCCTCGCGGGAAAAGGGGGGAAACCTACAGAAACTCGAGCAACATGTTGAATACTCGGTAGCTACCCCCCCTTTTTTTTGGAAAATGTGGGCAGGGACTATTACTGGGGACACCATTCAGATTTATTGTTTAACCACCTGTCGGTCAACTACGATCTACGCCCGGGTGCAATTGTTAGGGGATTGCTATCTATTCAACCGAAAACCATGACTTCGGAACAACAATACACCTTTCCTGTGTTTGAGGAGTTGCCAGCAGTTCCCGGCACTCCACAAGGATGTGTTTGGGGCATGTACGACAGAGATGGCAAGAAAGACGAAGTCGGCGGTGAGGCAGATGAGGGCACTTCGACCAGAAGCGCCGGGGAATAGCGAACTGACCAAGACGATAGCAATCAATCTGCTGACGCCCGAGGTTGTCCGTGCCGCGAGCCTCGAGATCAAGACCGGTCGCCACGTCCAACTGGATTGGGCTTTGGAAAATCTCGAATTCCCGGGCTTCGGCCGGAAACCCTTTGAGCAGAAGGTCATCGACCTCTCCAAAAGCCTGGGCGCCTACGGGTTTGACGACGAGATCTACATAAACACGCAGAGCGGCTCGCAATGGGACAGCTTGAAGCATGTACGTGTCTGACGGAACGGCAAAAAGGGGGGTTTTCGGACGATCTGTCCTGCCTGGTGGTGCGATGGCGGGAAACTTGCTGATGTTCATATCCAGCACGCGTATCAACCGGGAAAAGTCTTTTATAACGGGTTGACTTTTGATGATGCTCTTACGTCCAACACCAACGGCATTCACAGTGAGTCCCGGACGCTGGCAAGCCCCGAATAACTGCCCGGCGCGCTCTGATGGTCGGAACAGACTGGTGCGAACGTGGCGGCATCGTCGGGCGCGGCATCCTCATCGACATGGTTGGTCAAGCTGCTTCCACACCTCACTCGTCGTTCTGAACTGATCCGTTGCAGGTTCGGTTCTACGAAAAGCGAGATGGCAAAGCTCCAAATGCATGGGAACGATTTGAAATCCCCGTGGCAGATCTAAAAGCCGCTTTGGCCGACCAAGGGACGATATCGAAACAGGGAGATTTGCTCATGGTTCGATCAGGCTACGTTCGCCAGCACGATCGCGCTTCCACACAGGAGCGCAGGCTGGGGACCTTTGGCACCGACAAGAAAGCCATCGGGGTGGCCAACAACGAAGAGATGGTTAAATGGTTGTACAGCCAGCACTTTTCCGCCCACATTGGAGACACGGTCGCATTCGAGGCCTGGCCACCCCCACACCTGGGCCAATGGATCATCCACGAATGGTCCCTGGTCTGGTGGGGAGCCCCCATTGGCGAGCTTTGGAATCTCGAGGGTCTGGCTGCCGAGTGCGAGAGGCAGCAGCGTTGGACTTTCTTCGTGACCAGCGCACCATTGCACGTCAAAGGGGGTGTTGGGAGTCCGCCAGGAGCGATAGCTATATTTTAGCGAGTATAACTGTACAGACTTGAAACTGCCAATAATCTCTTTGATGCCATCGAAGAATCATTTTCCCTTCCCTTGAGCCATGGCGCGCAAGGAGGCTCTGTCAAGGGCCTTCGCAAGGCTGATTGATCTACGAGGCTGGCCCCTGCTTTTCCTTATTCGGTTTTTAGATCTCCCTTTGCTTAGTGTTTGTAAGATCCTCGGACCATGTAAGCTCTTGGCTGCCTGGGTTCACTGATATGGGAGAAACCCGGATACAGCCGAAGCTCGGCAGGAAGTTGCATGGGGAAATAAATGGCTGGTCATACCTCCGTGCCCCGTCGTGGTTTCATGGAAAGTTGGGTTATATAGCCGGGTGTATTAGAAGCCGTATTTTCAGGTCTACGCCGCGCATTGTAGCTGGTCCCCCAGGATCATGGGCCTATGCATATTTAAGAGTCTGAGGCATAGTGCACAGCCACAGCAGAGCAACACACCAGTATTACAGCGAGGACAGCCCACCCATAGGGAGAGCTCACCACTCGTCTAAACCACGAACCATGTCAGAAGCCGTAAGTCGAAGTTCCTGCAGAACCCATGCCTTGTCATCATCCGGCTCCAAAGATCTGGCGAGACAAGGACCCAAGGCTGCGATGAGTGTATTCTAACGAGCTTTCCATCCTTCTAGACGACTTGGAATCGCCCGCTCAACCATGTGGCAGTATCAGTGCCCGATGTCCAGGCCGTGGTAGACTGGTACAGCACCCACCTCGGGTTCCGACTTCTCGGCAAGATCGCACACATCAAACGGTCGACGGATCCGGACGCCGCCATCTTTGCCATCTACCCGTCGAGCCTGAACGAAGTCAAGCTGGCGTACATGTCGACCGGGAATGGCGTCGGGTTTGAGGTGTTTGAATTCGTGGACCCCAAGCCGGTCGCGGCGGAGCGCGAATTCCAGTATGAGCGCGCCGGCTTCTTCCATGTCTGTGTCACCGATCCCGACCCGGACGCCCTGGCGGACAGGGTCGTCGGCGCCGGTGGCAAGAGGGTAGGCCAGACTGTCGATCCCGGTAACGTCGGCGTCAAGTGTCTCTACTTGGCCGATCCGTGGGGAAATATCGTCGAGGTCTTGTCGGTCAGCTTCGAATGGTTGGCGTGCAGGACGGCCTTTTAGTAGATTAGAAGCTGGATGGATGATTTGAACGCATCCTCTGTAATCATGTCTTCTCCGAGAGGAAGGGGGGTGTCCAACAGGTCCACTATAGCCGATTTGCCGGGGTTCCATTCTGTATGTTCATCATAAGAGCGTGATATCAGGCGTGTCCCTGGCTACTAAGAGACTCAGGTACCCTAGAGAGGCTCTTGTCGGCGAAATAGTGGTCTCGGTTCGCCCTCTTCACGGCTCATTAGGGTTGACATGGTGCCCAGCTGTAGATATACTGCCCCGTATCCAAGCCCTGCTAGCCCAAGCTCCAACGGTTCATTGCTCCTCGCACTCGCCCGTGGCGTCATATATTCACTATTAAACATTTTCCTTTGTGGGAGAGTTGAGGTTCACAAACACATCGAGGTGTGTCCTTCCCTGCAAAAGAAAGCTCTGCTGTGTTGTCCAGTCCGTGGGAAAGGAGAAATCTAGTTTGAAAACTTGATCGATACGACAAAGAGTTGGTGGGAGACAAAAAAAATGCTGAAGCAAAATGGAGAGGCTCCTGCTTCCTTCGACTACCCAGTATGCAAGAAGACTGTCACGTTGAACAACGGTATATTGACACTCTTTCCTGCCCCCTTTTACGGTGCTGAATTTTGAGCAAGAATGCCTATGCTGACCTCGCGGGCCATCCCTTGTCGCAGGAATGGAATGTCCATTGGTCGGCTTGGGCACATGGCAGGGTAAGCAAGTCGACTACATGTCCCTCGCGCAGATTCTCACATAATGGTCTGACTTGACTTCTTTTTTTTTTGCTCCTTATCCAGGCCAATACGGCACCTTGGCAGCGCAGCAACTCGAGGACAGCATCATCCACGCCTTGCACCATGGGTACCGGCTGATTGACACGGCGCAATACTACGGCGTGGAAAAGGTCGTAGGCTCTGCGATTCGCAAGTCCGGGGTGCCCCGGTCGTCGATCATTGTCATTACCAAGTTCTGGTCGCATTGGCACCATGACCCGGCTGCTGCGCTGCGCCAGTCCCTCGCCGACCTTGACATTGACTACATCGACATCTTCATGATGCACTGGCCGACCCTCATGCTGAAGGAGGGCGTTCCGGAGCCGTGGGGTACGAAGCCCGATTTTATCGACACGTGGATTATGATGGAGGACCTGCTCTTGGACGAGTCGCTGGGCCTGAAAGACCAGGTCAGGGGCTTGGGAGTCAGCAATTTCACTCGAAAGCTCCTCGAGCCCTTGCTGGAGCGGTGTAGGCTCAAGCCACTGGTCAACGAGGTCGAGTTGCATGCCATGAATCCGAATTTGAAGCTTGTGCCGTGGTGTCAGAAGAACGGAATCCAGGTCATTAGCTGGAGGTGAGTTCTTTGGTCGGTTCGCCGTCTCCAACGAGCAGGGCATGCATGGCAGCTCGTCCCACAGCAGTGGTTAAGTTGATCGGTTTTCTGGATGCACTGCCAATTTCGCGAGTGGTCGCTTTTGTTCCTAACCTTGCCTTGTCGTTTCGCCTGTTCTACCACGAAGATGGGAAAAGAGACTGACCAAGAATCCGACCTTTCTTTCCAGCACCCTGGGATCCGAACGAGTGAACGAACGGAATCAGATTCTAACACATCCGCTCTTTACAAACATTGCCTCCAAGCACGCCTGCTCCGTCGGCGTTGTCTCCCTTTCTTGGGCAGTACAGCGGGGTGTTATTGTCATTCCGAAGTCGTCATCGCTGAAGCGCATCGAGGATAACATCAAACTGGTTGAGCTCACCAAGGAAGAAATGGAGGAGCTCAACAACGCCGAGAAGACGGTCGGCCGCATGAGGCTAAGTGACACGATCCCGGGGATCCAATATAAGATGCCGGATGGGCGAGACACCATTCTAGGGTGGACGAAAGTAGAATTTGGGTGGGAAGATGAGAAGGGCGAGTGGCTGTGCTGAGCCGAAGAAGGGAATCATGGAATTGAACATGTTTGAGGAGGAAACGGAGGAAACAGAGGAACGGACAGAGAGGGGAACACTGTCGGGCCTCCAGACCTGGAGGCTTGCGGTGTGTCTTGAATCGCTAAACGTTCACGCTCATGGATGCAAAGTAGGAAGAACTCCCAAGGTACGTTTCATGCGTGTTATTGGCTACTCAAGATAGAAACGATGTTGGCTCTGTGGTCCCGAAGTAATTGGTGAACATGGCATAGTCTGTCGACGACGGAAACGTCTCCTCACCCTGCGACATGTCGAAGAAACCTAGAGTCGGGTGGTTCTGCCAGCTAACATAAGCATTGATTCCGTCCAGGTCCATGCCGTTTCCTATGTAAGGGGCCCCATTTCCAGACACGTTACTATTCCGGTGATCACCTTCGTTCGACTCTATATCTTGATTTCTATTTCCGATCAAGTTGTCAAACAGCTTGGAGATCCAGGGCGCAGGGTCCCACGCTTCGTAAATGTCGTGCCAGACCATCTGACAGCTATTCAGAGCCTGAAACCCGAGTTGAGACACCAGAGGCTGCGGGCTCTTCATCTGGGTGTAGAAGACGGCTTGCGCGAGAAAGAGACCTTGGAAGACCTCGTGCGGCATGACAAGGGATTCATTTTTACGTGTAAACGTGCAAGCCAAGGACGAGATGCGCTGGGCAGCCACCTCGGTAATTGGGCGCGAGGGGGGGCCTCCGCCTAGGGATCCGTTGCCGCTGGTCGTGGACGTCGCTCCTGTTGCGGACCGGCCCAAGTGACTCAGGATCAAGTGGTGGTCGTAGAGTATGGCGAGACAAGTAGCAAACGGATTCGAAGCCTTGTCATTCTCCGAGCAGCGTAACGTGGGCGGAAGCGCATTATGCCAATCTTGTAAAGTGTCGTGGAGATTGGCCATTCGAGCCTGGGCGCGATTAGGATCGAATCTCGTCGAGATGATCTCTCTCAGGAGGAGAGATAGCTTGGACATATGAATCTGATACAGACCGCAGACGTCGCGGAGAGGATGGTTGACAAAATCCGGGCTTTGAACGTCATACTCGAAGTCTTCGACCGTCAGCATCTCGGTGTCGGAGTGATCGGTGTTGATGCGGAAGGGCCGGCGACGAGGGTGCCACATGAAGCATCTCGAATGACCAGAATCCACCAGAGTCTTTTCAAAAGACTCCGGTCATGAGGGTGCATGTTTGCCCCTGCAGTAGATCGGTGAATACCTAGGGCTTCTGCAACCGTGACCCCGGTAGAGATCCAACTATAAAAATTCCAGTAATTGTTCGGTCCTCCACCCCAGCACGTCAGGACAATGACGCTCTGTAGAATAGTGATCTTATTGGATTCGTAGCCGGTGTCAAACAACGCTTTGGCCTTTCGATAATACGAGACTCTGGCTTGCTTTCGTCCCGTAAACCCAGCACGATGCAAGATGGCGAGGGGACAGAAAGTTGCCGAGATGAAACACAGCGCATGCAGTAGAATCCACGGAACCTTCTTGGCTTTATATTGTTGAAGAAACTCTTGCCGATTGACCACGGGATAGATAGGCCATACTCGGTCCAGAAAATTTGCGATCAAAGCATCGAGAATTTCCTGAGAGGGAGCGACAAAGGCATCTTTGGCTTGAAGAAAGGCGATATCCTCTGGGAGCATATGTGAGGGGTGATTTTCACTCGTAGGTTCAGCCCTCGCCTGGTCTTCTGTGAGCGGTGGCCCAGCATGATGGAGGCGCGGTCGTCCCCCTTCTTTGAACTCCTCGAGCACCATGGCCAATGGAAAGGATTCTCCCAGGTAGGTGATCGAACATTTGTCTATCGTGTCCTTTTGGTCCCGTCGTCGTCCGTCCAGAAAATGGTCGAACATGGCAGCCCAAGAGATTTCGCGATAAGACTTCGCGCTGGTCTCCGAGAATGCTGCTTCTGGAGAGGCCAGGTCTGTGCTGGAAGTAGTGGATGCCGATACTGGGAAACCATTTGGGACAGTGGCGGGAGGTTGACTGTCGACACGGACGCTTTGAACTGCTTGTTGGAGGAGCGGCGACCCGTCTACAGGAGTCGGGTCACTCAGGGGACGATGTGCTGTCGTTTCTGATACTGCGGGCGTGGCGATGGCGTCGGCACTCGTGTCAGCATCAACCCCAACAGAGGCTGCCGTGGGCTCTGTTACAGTGGGATTTGGCTTGGTCCTTTTGCGAGAATGCGTGCCTCGCCTAGACTGTATCAGGACACATTCCTCGCTGTTGCTCTGTCGACATTTGGAGCAAGGAGTTCCGCATTCAAAGGCGTCACACTTGATTCTTTTCTGATTACAGCGTTTGCATGCTTTGACAGCACGCGTACGGTTTGAAGGCGCATGTTCCGAGCTGCCAGGGCGCATCGTGGGTGGTGACTTGAACTGATGACTTTCGGGTCATCTGGTTGCGCCAAGGAGGAGGGAGAGAGGTGTGAATAGGCGACGACAATGGTGTCTCAGCTTCGCGGTGTCTGGAGCGTGAAGTGATGAGTGGATGTGGACAAATTTGAGGAGCAGACTTGAAGTCGATGGAGATTGTACAGGCTGGGCGGAAGAACGAGAGCCCGAGTTTTTCCTCGCCTCCGCCTGGAGTGGCGTTCTAGCCTCCTTCCTGCATATTAGCGGTGCCTAGCACGCCTACCGCGGGGATGGTGGAGGGGCAATTAGGGGCCACTTGGGGAACTCATTAGGGCGATAACACCCGCTATAACCTCCCCCCACTTGCCCTCGGCGGGTGCTCAGCAAAGGGCCACGTGCGAAGTATCAGCTCCTTGACCATTCACAGTTTCAATTCCCTCCACCGCAGTTCACCTCCTCTCATGTAGCCGGTATGGGACTTGATTCCCGGCCACAGCACTCTGCTCCGATTTCTGGTCATTCGTCCAGCATGGCCATTGTTGAAACTTTTCCTTCCCACTATATATCGTTCCTGTTCCACAACCTGTTCGAAAGATTTTCAGAGCAGCCATGGCGACCGCCACCATGACCACCAAAACGCATCCTGCGCTGCGCATCCATGCCCGCGAGAAGCTCCAGCTTGACAACATTCCTTCTTTGTAAGCTGCTAGCGACACTCCTCCGAGGCATTTCAAGAGGAGTTTGGCGAGCTAATCACTACCTAGACCTTGCGGACCCAATGAAGTTCGACTCAAGATTGCCTACTGTGGGATTTGCGGCTCAGACATTCATGAATATCAGGCACTCCCGATCTTTGCTCCGCCACCTGGTGGCAAGCATCATGCTACAGGAGTTGAACTTCCCGTGGTCATGGGCCACGAAATGTCGGGCACTGTGACAGAGGTTGGATCAGCAGTCCGAAACCTGGAGCTCGGCCAAAACGTGGCGGTCTGTCCCTCGTTGGACGATCGATCCTACAATGAGCCCCCGTGCTCATCTTGTCGCAGGGGCAAAGTCAATATCTGCAAGCGCTTTGCCACCTATGGCCTGAGTGCCTGGGGAGGAGGGTTCTCGACTGAGATCGTGGTCAAGGACTTCAATTGCTTCCCTCTTCCAAGTTCGGTGTCACTAAAAGTGGGTGCCCTGACCGAGCCTCTCGCTGTCGCCTGGCACAGCATCCGGACATCGGGATTCCAGAAAGGTCAGACGGCACTCATTCTTGGCGCAGGTCCCATCGGGCTTGCCATTTTGCTCTTACTCAAAGTCTGGGACGCCAGTAAGGTGGTCGTGACAGAAGTCACGGAAGCGAGACAGCTACAAGCACAAAAGTTCGGTGCTGACCTGGTTATCAATCCTCTACAAAAGCCCGCAGGCGGCTCAAGCGAGGCGCCTCCAGATCCCGTGGTGGATGCCATCCGGACCTTCTCTGAAGACGGTGTTGACGTTGCCTTTGACGCAACCGGCCTCCAATCGACCTTGGACACGGCACTGGCAGCCACGCGACCTGGAGGGACGATTTTCAACGTCGCAATACACGAGAAACCGCTATCCTTGAACCTCAACGACATTGGGTTTCTTGAGAAACGCCTCCTTGGGGGAATCTGCTATACTAAGGAAGACTATGAACAAGTGATCAACGCGATGGAGTCTGGGAAAATTCTATTTGAGCAGATGATTACTTCAGTTGTGCCTCTGACAAACGCAATCGAGGGTGGTTTCATGGAGCTTATCCGGAACAAAGCGAAGCATGTCAAGATCTTGATCCAGCCGGAGGAAGACTAGACTTATCACCGACTCCCCGCCATTGACAACATGACTTCAGTGTAGAGAGTTGCCCATTAGTCTATCGAGCACGCAATAAGACAACCATCTGATTAGCCAGTCCAAGCTCCCTGGAAGTAAATCTCCACACCTTGACGTTTACTCGCCCGCCACTGCAACACAATCAGACGAAGTTGTCTTGCCGAAGGCCAAAATCATAAAGGCGAGGCGGCGTTTTGCCGGGGAAGCATATAGCCGACAGTTCCCGGCGCATTGAATGCAGATTGGGTGAGTGCAAGGCTGAGAGCAGCGGTGAACGGAGCGGCATGTACCAAATTGTGTGCGCTCCGTTGTTATGGTCTAGCAAGGGATACAAAAGGAGACAACAATGTTCAATCGTTCGAGGTAATGACACACTTGATGAGATCCTTGGGCTTGTCCACGACCAATTGCAACGCGTCGGCGGCTTGCTGCAAGTCGAACCTGTGAGTGATCAGGGGCTTGACATCCAGCTGCCCAGAAGCAATCATATCAATGGCGGTGCGAAATGTGTTGGCATACCTCCATAGCGACAAGAGGTCGACCTCCCTCACCGCCGCCGATCCCACGTTGATGTTCTGAATCGGCTGTCCCATTCCCACAATGACCACCTTGCCGCCCGGCGCAGCACAATGGATCCCAATGTTGACGCAGGTGTCGACGCCCGTACATTCGAACACGACCTCCGCCAAACCCCATCCCTCGCCCTCCTTCTCGAGCATCTGTGCAGCCAGCCTCTTGGCCATGTCTGGCTTTGATTCTCCCTCGTTACCACGGATAGGAATCTCAAACACGCCGTCGGCAAATCCGTGTCGCCTCGAGAAGTCCAGCCTCGCGCCATCGATGTCCACCATGCCAATCCATCTGGCGCCATTGACGCGTGCCACCGCAGCACAAAACAATCCGATCGCACCGGCTCCGAGTACCACCACTCTCATGCCGCCCCTGACTTTGGCCCTTCGGACCGCATGAACCGCCACACTCAATGGCTCGACCATGGCGGCCTCTTCCCAACTCATGGTCCGGGGCAGCGCATACACCCATGACGCCGGGTGCGTATACCTGGCCTGTAGCGTTCCCTGGATTGGTGGATTCGCACTAGCGCTGCCACTGAACTTCAGCCGGGGACAAAGGTTGTATTTACCACTGCGACAGATATTGCACCTCTCGCATGGCCGCTGTGGCTCGATGGCCACGCGGTCTCCGATCTTCAACCCCAGTCCCAATGACTCCACGTCACTGCCTAGCGCGACGATTGTCCCTGCAGCCTCGTGTCCAAGTACTAGAGGCGTGGTGACGACAAACATGCCGTTGCGGCCAGCTGAGTAGTAGTGCATATCGGTACCGCAAATGCCTGTGGCACGTGGAGCAATGAGGACTTCGTGTGGAAGCGGAGTGGGCGTTGCGACTTGGGTCAATCGGAGGTCGCTAGCCCCGTGCAACAGAGCAGCAACATGAGTCGAGCTTGTAGACATATCGGAAGGCCGTAAGTCGATAGCAACAGTTGAAAGGATCGAATCGATGGGAGGAGCCAAGGAGGTTCTAAATAAATTGTATTCAAGAGACACCAAGGACAAAACAGTGTAGAGAGTGCTAGACCCGCAGTTGAGAGAAATCGATATCTGCTTTCCTCGTCTTTCTTGATACACCAAGGCCGTAACCGATCTGGTCTTCCTTGCCGGCGGCTCTGCTGCACCAAATGGGCCCTCTCAGCTATGTCCGTTGGCCGGTCGCTTCGTCCTCTGAACGTGTGTTGAGAAGCGGCTTTATTGCCATTTCTCCTGATCGAATACAAAAAACCTAAGAACTGAAATAACCCAAAGCTACAAGTTTACGCGGCGGAACGCCATCATTTTCGCGCACAATAGGTACTTATTCCGGTCTTTCGGTGGCCCGGTCCATGTGAAATCACAGCCGAAAAGGGCGGGAAGGGCATCATCAGCGCGTGAAGGGGTATGTGAAACAGAACAAGCGGGTCAAACGGATGAGATTCGATACACAGCCCATCAACCGGTAAGACAATGGCCCTTTTTTTTTTAACACTCGGCCGGCTTGCGGGAGCGGAAGCTGGTGGGCGAAGAACTTGATCATGTAGCCGGAAAGGCTCGGGAAGGAGGTAGGTAAGGCTCAGATCTGGGGGCCAACCGTTTCGTTAAAAGGTATTATGCTGATAGATCGGCTTCTGGCAAGAGCTACCACGTACGGAGCTAGAGAGAGAGGGAGAGAGCATTGCTAAGAAAGCGAGAAGAACTATCCTGTCTTTCGACTGGTCAACATGATCGTTCAAATGGCTAGCCTTGTATAGAGACTCTGAGGACTCATTTGCTGCGCGTTCTGTGCGATCCACGGCAGGTTATTTGAAGCCAGCAGCATTGACCCAGCCGAAGCTCGACATCCCATGCAATACTGCTCCTCCATTTCGTACTATATGTGCTGGATAGAGGCAAACAATTGGCACCATACCCCCTTCACAGCACCTTCCGCTTCAACATGTCCAAAGCAGGGCCCAAGAGGTGAAAACTTCTGCCGAGTACAACTGGTAGAAGGACTCCAAAACTAGCCAACATCGCCGCCACCTTCCATGCCGGGTGCAGGGGATGTGTGCCTTTGCCGCCGTAGAGGTTAAAGTCCTTCCACACCGGCCAGTAGAGCTGGTACCAGAACTTCCAGGTTTCGTCGGGGTAGTTGGTGGTATTGCGGCCGGCGGCGTCCAGGTTCCAGTTGCTGCAGCCGGCATTCCAGACCATGGACTTCAGCCGGGCCTGGACTACGTTAGCATCGCGATACTCGGCGGCTTCCTTGACGTCGATGACTTGGAAGTCTCCGCGTAGGATCGGCTTCACCATGGCCTTGATGATGTACTCTACTTGTACCTCGTTCGTATAGATGACCGAGTTGTGCGCGGGGAAGGCGTTGGGACCGAAGACGATCCCGAAGTTAGGGAAGCCTGTCACGAACGTCGCCTTGTATGCCTGTGCGCCTCGCGTGTCTTTCCAGTGTTCGTTTAGGCTGACACCACCGACACCCTTGACCGTGATAGGAGACAAGAATTCCTGGATCTTGAAGCCCGTGCTGAGGATGATAGCGTCGACATCGATATTTCGTTGGGGAGTTCGTAGACCGGTCTCGGTGATTTCCAGAATGGGCTCCGCTAAGAGTTCGATGTTGGGACTGTGGAGGCACTCGAGGTAGCCAGGGTCAAAGATGCGTCGTTTACACCCCAGTGGAAATTGGGGAATGAGGAGGTCATGGTACTTCTTCGGCGCCGTCGCCTTCATGTAGGCCTTGGCGTGCTCCGTGGCGGCGGCGCGGTTACGTATCGATCGGGCTGTCTCGGATTGGTATAGATTGTGAAGGGCGTCCGTGTTCTTCCACAGGTAGAAGCGGTAGATGCGGTTCCAGAGGGGCACGTTGCGGAAGCACCATTTTTGGAAATCGGTGAAGTTGCTATTAGGTCTTTCGTTGATCCATTGGGGTGATCGTTGGAACTGGTATACCTGCGCCGCTTCCTGAACCACATACGGGACAAGTTGAGCGGCGGAGCAGCCATTGCCGATGACAGCAACGCGCTTACCCCTGAGAGAGACATTATGATTCCAGCGCGCCGAATGCCACATGTCGCCTCTGAACGTCTCGTGGCCCGGGATGTTGCAGTCTTTGGGTATGGATATTGTACCCACACAGGAGACCAGCATTTCCGCCTCTCTGTGGAAGACATGGTTGTCGTCGAGGTCGCGAAGGGTCACCTGCCAGACTGACTTCTCTTCGATCCAAGCGGCTTCAACCACCTCGATTCCGAGCCGCACATGGGGCCTGATCCCGAACTTGTCGACCGTATCTTGCAGATATTGAAGAATCTCGGATTGCTCGGCGAACCGCTTCGACCAGTCGGGGTTCAGGTTGAAGGAGAAGGAGTAGAGGTGAGAGTCGACATCACACCCCACGCCAGGGTACGTATTGAGGTACCAGGTACCTCCGATAGATCTCTCCCTTTCGTAAACGACAAAATTATCGTATCCAAGTTGCGATCTGAGCCGCGCTGAGAGCGCAATGCCAGCAACCCCGCACCCGATGACAATAAGGCGTGGTTCTGCTGTCCGGCGGGAAGGCATTGCGCGCGTGTGTGTAGAGACAGGACTTCCCGCTCGACTCGAAAAATCTCTGCAAATTCTGCATGTCGAGGAAAATCTTGCCAGACTTCGAGCTCGCACAATATATCAAAGGCAGCCTGTGGCGGACCAGCCGCTTGTCCATGTAGCCTTGAGAGATGGCTCCCAGCCGATATCACAGCACGAGGATTGGTCCCGGTTATATGACGATGGCCTGAGAATTCCCGGGCGAGGACCACATTCAGCTTCCCGGTGGTACGCTGTGGGCCTTGGTGAGGAATAGGCGGCCATGGTGATCTCGAGGAGCATTGCAGAAGCAGTAGATCCCGACGGAGCTGGGACTGCTGTCTCTGTTGCTCGCTGGAAGGGTTGTTCGAATCGTTGCAGATATAATGGGGTGCAAAGTCCCGGCGAAAATTGGCGGACCGGTCGTTGTAAGCGGAAGCATTAGAGGGCAAACATGCCGAGCACCACGAACGGACCTTCTATCTCAGTCAACGGCGCCTCTACCCCATCTGTCTTGACCGACGATGAGCAAGCAGTTCGAGACCTGAGGAAGTTCATCATCGATATCTGTCGACAGAACGGTGGTGGCCATGGAGGGTCGGCGATTGGGATGGCGCCTCTGGGCGTGGCTCTCTGGCGCCATACAATGAGATACAATCCAAAGAACGCCGACTGGTTCGATCGAGATCGATTCGTGCTATCGAATGGCCACGCTGCTATGTTCATCTACACAATGTTACATGTGACCGGATATCCGAATATGACGTTGGACGAGGTGAAGCTGTACGGCTCAGCCAAGGCAGTCGACCCAGAGACTGGTAAATGGACGGCCACGCTATGCCATGGTCACCCTGAACTGGACGTTCCAGGCATCGAAGTCACTACTGGGCCGCTTGGTCAAGGGGTAGCGAATGCGGTCGGCCTCGCCATCGCCTCGAAGCACCTGGCAGCAACCTTTAACAAGCCAGGCTACGACATCGTTAGTTCTCGGATCTACTGCACCACGGGCGATGGATGTCTTCAGGAAGGAGTCGCCCAAGAGGCTATGGCTCTTGCAGGTCATCTTCAGCTCGATAACCTCGTTCTCTGCTACGACAACAACCAGGTCACCTGTGACGGCCCCCTGGAGTGGATTGTGTCCGAAGATACCAATGCCAAAATGCGCGCAATGGGATGGAACGTGATCGATGTTTTCACAGGTGATAGCTCGGTCGACGATATTGTCTCAGCGCTGAAGCTTGCCCGGTCGACCAAGGGCAAACCCACCTTCATCAACATCCGCACCACAATCGGTTACGGGACGTCCACCGCGGGCACTTTCAAGTCGCATCACGGCACCTATACTGATGCGGATGCCGCCTTGTACGCGTCTGCCAATGTATCAACCACACATACTCTATCAGAACAAACAAAAGCGTACCTCGCTGGGTGTGAGGCAAGAGGCCAAACTCTGGAAGAGGACTGGAAAGACCTCCTGGTGGCCTACAACAAAGCTTACCCCACCGAAGCCCAGCTCCTGTCCGACCGGATGAATGGCAAGGTCGACTATGAGACTGTCCTGTCTTCTATTCAAGTTCCCGAGGTCGTTCAAGCTACCCGACAATTCAATGGCACCGTCTTTAATACCCTCATGTCACATGTTCCACACCTCATTGCTGGTGGCGCCGACCTCTGGAACAGCAATCAAATGGGTGACCAGACGTCTCGGATCTATTCCGGGGGCAACCCACAGGGCCGCGTTATTCGGTATGGCATTCGCGAACATGCAATGGCGTCCATCTCGAACGGACTAGCAGCCTACAGTCCCGGCACCATTATCCCTATCACGGCGACATTCTTCATGTTCTACTTGTACGCAGCGCCTGGCGTGCGGATGGGTGCACTAAGCCACCTCAAAGTTATCCATGTGGCCACCCACGACTCGATCGGCGAAGGCCAGAACGGTCCAACTCATCAGCCGGTCGAACTCGACTCTTTGTATCGAGCGATGCCACACCTCGCGTATATCAGACCCTCGGATGCCGAAGAAGTCATAGGTGCTTGGTCGACCGCGTTAGGTCCCGCAACTAAGGAGATGTCGGTCATCATCTCGCTGGCTAGGGACCCAGCAATCACCGCGATACCAAACACAGATCGAGCCAAAGTCGCCCGAGGCGGCTACGTAGTTGTCGAGCAGAGCGATTCCGTCGTCACTCTCATTTCTTGCGGCTCGGAATTGCAATTTGCCGTAGCAGCGGCGAAGCAGCTGACAGAACAGCACAGCATTTCGACGCGGGTGGTCAGCATGCCGTGCATCAGCCTGTTCGAAGCCCAATCCGAGACATACCAGAATGAAGTGCTTGGGTCAACGGAACATGTGGTTAGTGTCGAAGCCTATGTCAGTAGTATGTGGGCCAGGTTTTGTACAGCAAGCGTGGCGATGGATGACTTTGGGTATTCCGGAGCAGGCATTGAAAACTTTAGGAGGTTTGGCATTGACCATGTCGGGATCGTCAAGAAGGTGAAGAAGCTTCTGCAAACCACCACATCAGGGAAAGGCAGAGCAAGATGGAGGTTGTTGAAGTAGTCGTAGGCGGTGAGAGATAGATTGGATCTAGGTATAATTCCGTCAGTGGCTATGATTGTTAGGAATACATGACCTGTTTTGCTAGGGCTCGAGCTTCATCCAACGAGACGATGGATCCCAGCCTGCTCTCACGGTTCTGTCGTGTTGGTCTCGGCGGGCACTAGGCGAAGCAAACAAACCTGATAGGGATACCGTTGAAGCTTTCTTCATAGCTTCTCATGACCTTAGATCAACCGAAGTCTCAAGTCGGCATTGCGCTAGACAAGCTGAGAGCTGACATTTTGCTGACAGTGATAATGATGATAGCCCGGCTGGCTAGTACAGTTGAGGGGCGATGGACCTAGAGCCGCCAACAGGCTGGCCGTTAACCGAAAGACTTTCTCTCGCCTTTATACTTTCTCCCCTGAGCATTGCCTGCAACTCGGGTGGAGCAACGGCTCTTTTAGAGTCAGTTAGGGAGACGAGCCCTTTGCTGCTCGTTCGAGACACGGGCTGCAATTATTTATGATGGTGCATATTGTACGCTTTTACTCGAACCGTTCACAAACCTGGGAGATTGTAACTCTACCAGAACTGACCCTTCTTGGGCACAGTCTCTTCTGCCTCGAACTGAAAGCGAACAACGAGAGGCATTCTTCACGTCAGGATGGCCGGATTACTTCGCAACAAAGTCGTTGCCATCACAGGTGCATCGCAAGGAATCGGGCGTGCTACGGCACTGGCATGTGCTCGACAAGGCGCTGGTCTCGTCCTGCACCACTTGGGGACCGAACAGACGACCTCTGACATCGGGGCGCTGCAATCTGAACTGAGAGCGATCGACCCATCGCTTCGACACACCTCTTTCAGCGGCGATGTTGTCCTGCCAGAGACCCCGGCCAATCTGGTGGCCGAGGCTTTGGACAAGTTTGGTCGAATTGACGTCCTGATCAACAATGCAGGCATCTGCACATTCTCCGACTTCCATGATGTGACGCAGGCTCTTCTGGAGCGGCACATGTCAGTCAACTTCACGGCGGCGTACATGCTCACACAGGCCGCCACGAAGCAGATGGTGGCCCAAGGGACGGGTGGCAGTGTCGTGTCTATCGCCTCCATCACAGCCGTCCAAGGCTCGTCGGCCTTGACGCACTACGCGCCCACCAAGGCGGCCATCCTGGGCATGACTGTCGCCTGCGCGAGCGCCCTGGGCAGACATGGCATCCGGTTCAACAGCATCTGTCCCGGCACCATCGAGACCACCATGAACAAGGCTCACTTGGACCACAATGGTCAGCGCGAAGTCATGGCGGCCAAGGCGGCGCTGGGCCGCCTGGGCACTCCCGAAGATATCGCCGGAGCAGCCGTCTTCTTCGCCAGTGATCTCAGTTCCTATGTGACTGGACAGTACCTGTTGGTGGATGGCGGTGCATCAACCCATTATGAGTGATAGCGACGCATCTTTTGGCTGCTGCTGCTCTTCATGGCAATGGGATCACCCTTCGAGCGAAACACGTCCCCTCCATCGTTTTCTCATCTCTGCAGGCGAATACATCCAGAGCCATGTGCTTGGATTTCGATGATGTTCTAGCGAGCATCTCCTTGACTCGATCCTCGCGTCAAGCTGTTTGGTTAAAGGTGCACTGTGGCCTTTCCATGGGCCAACCGTGTTACGGTTGGGATACCGAGTGTTTCTCGCACTATTGTACCGGGAGAACTGAATAGGATAAACGGCCAAGAAGGAAGCAGGAAGTTTGGTGGTTTTCGAAACGGCACAGCTGGCTAGATTCTTGGATCGCGAGGGCATCTTTTGCGTGTCAATAGTCCTCACGCACCAGGTCCCGAGCAAGGTGGACAATAGACGAAAGAAAAGGACTTTGTTCGAGATTGGCCGTATCCGAAGGACGAAAGGCAGTGCAACAAGGACTTCTCAATTAGACATTCTGTCCTGCCCTCTTCTCTTTTCGTTTCAAGTTGACAGCGTCTTGCCCTGCAATCTTGATCTCTCTGCCTCAAGGATTCTTCCAGCCTCCTCTTCAATGCTCCTCTCCTTTGGCGTCCAGGCCAGAAACTTTCTCAATCGCTCCGCCTTTCCCCGTGAATTCAAGCCCCAGCTGATGGCTTCGAAGCCGGCTACCCCCAGAGCCTCGTCTTTACTAAGCTGCTTCTCGACGGGCTTCGCGGGAATGTAGCCTTTGTCCGCCGCGATGGCCGAGATCTTCCTGGCCAGGTCAGCCCAGACATGCTCGCCGTTCTCGCAGAGATGGTAGCCCTTAGCGCCCCAGATGTCGTCAGATAGGTTCTGAGCCACTGCCGCTTCAGCCAGGAGGACAAAAGCAGTGGCTAGGTCGTAGACGTGGACGTGGTTCCACCGCGCCTTTCCTGCGCCCACGATGGGAGTGTAGCCCTTCTGCAGTATGAGCTTGCTCAGTTCGTAGACCTGGCGAGACCGCCCGGAGACGGGACCTCGACCGTCACCTAAGCGGAAAGTCAGCAAGGGAGAGTTTACTTGACACATAACAGTTGAAAGTCGGCTCCGAAAGGACGAAACCAATGACGATCGCACGCTTCCTGGGGTCACCGAGACTTGCCATAGATGGTGGGCGGGCAAACCAACGCCGTCTTTACCCTGTCCGCATACTTGGTTCCAGCTTCGAGAACGATCTTGTCGACATTGCGATGGAATGCCTCGTCGGGCAGGTGTGTCAACTCGTCCACTCCACTGAGATCGTTGTACTCCTTGGTCGACCACTCTCCCAAGCGATTGTTCTTGGAGTCTTCATAAGTCAATATCCCAGTACCACCCGTGTGCAGCCAGAATCCAGGCTTAGATGGCGCATGGCCCTCGACGAGACCGGCAGCAATGGCTCTTGCCGCACCTTCGTGATCCGATGCGTCTGCAGTATCTGTCGAATACGAAAATTGGGGTCAGAACGCTGTCCGGTCAGGGGGGGGGGGGGGGGGGGGGGACCGACGGTAACTTACGCAGGACGATATCTGCCTTTGCACTCTCTTCACGAAGCACCACCGAATCATCCAGATCACCCAGCACGATGCGAAGCTTGGGATACTGCTGTTGAACTCGGTTCGCCTTCTCCTGCGTCCTGATCAGGGCACCTATCAGATGAGGTCAGCAATTTTGGTGTTCCGTGTTACCAACGCAAAAGCAAACCGGGCGTTCCCATGCCGTGCCAAGTTAAATATGGAAAGGATTCAAATGAGGTGAAAAAAAAGGAGGCTGTCTGAAATTTGCAAACTCACAGTATTCCCATTCGGGGTGTTTCTTGCTCAGTGCATAGAGGGCGTCGCCACCGATGTATCCTGTGACTCCTGTGCTGGAATTGGAGTCAGCGGGTATAATTTCTGAACTTCATCCCGTCGGCCTCGTACATTAACACTTTGACCGCCATACTGGCTGTGGAATACCGACTTTGCTGCTGTGAAGCTCTATTCTTCTTGTAGAAGGTTGTCAGGACAAGTCGCTTACTTGGTGGAATCAAATTTGTTTCTGTAGGATAGTAACATGAAACCCCCTCGAAGCCTGAATCTTGGAGACCGAGCTACTCCAATCATATACTCGGTACTTGGGTTAGTAACCCCCCAGTCAAGTGTTGCGGTTCACCTGATTTCGACGTCGTTCAGAATGATTTCGATATCAGGACCGTGTGGTCAATCAACCCGAGGTTGGTGAATGTTTTACTCTCATGTCTTACGATTAAGCTGGGCTATTACCGTATCATGACTACCTCGCAGGCTTCAAGAGCTCTACTCAAATTTCTATGCACGTTACAGTAAGACATTGTTGAGCCAGGCTCACACGGTCAGAGCGGATGCAAAGGTTGTAGCCCCAAGGTTCTTTCATTTGTGCTCAATTCTTTCGTGTTTGGCGCTTCCGTTGCCGCATTGTGGCTCGATCAAACATGAGCAAGAAGCCTCGCCTGGAATGCTTGCGGTGAGAGGCAAGCCGGTTTACGATAGTCACTAATAGGATGAATGTTGACGTTACCGCGATGGGTGTTCGTGAAACGCAGACCAGAAGGGGTCCGACATAGGAACCAATTCTTACATGCGCTACTCTGAGCGCTATCAGCAAAGGCCTAACAAGCGAGTCACAAAAGTTCTTTGCAAGTGTGTTGTGTTTGGGGGGTCCAACGAATCTGGCAACACCTGCGGAGGGTTTCTGGGGATACGATTGAGGTTCAACGGGAATTGAATTCCATGACCGAGCCCATTTTTCTGGTCCCGGAAGTCGATTCCCTCGGTCTCTGTGTCTTCGGGTGGCGTCGCACGGCTTTATCCCTTCAGTAACCGTGCTCTCCTTCGGCTATAAGGGTTATTCGATTCTGCTTTGCCCCTTTTCCCGCACCATACCCACATATGTATGCAGCAAAGGCATTGACTTGGACTAAGCAGAAATTCTACGAGCATATCACGACATCACTATGTATACGGAAAGTCCCCGTTGCCTCCATCGACTGGGGTGAATGGCCTTTCAAGCGAGTTGAGGTTCTCGCCAACTGCCTTATCTAGTCTTACAACCGGGGAAGGATGGAGACCCCTTGCGTGGATTGCCCACGTTCCACAGGGCTTCGTTGCCGATGGCGCGATATGGAAGTTGAAGTCTACAACCGGGCTTTTGGGAATTGGCCACACAGTGGATTGTCAAGGGGCTCCCCCGTGGGGAGAGAGAGACAGGTGGATGCTTTATCAGGACGGTCTATTTCAACCCAGGGGCATGCGGGAGTATATGGGGCATGGCTTTCTCTTGTCTGACTGATTCTGTCAACTCAGGTCAGCCTGTCTTGTCTACCACTCTCCTCGTCAACCCCCTCATTTTACGCACCTTGAGAGTTCCTCAGACCAGAGCCAGCTCTGTGGTTCATAAAAACCCCCTAAAAGCATGGGTCTGCTTCCTCTCCAGGGCCGCGCCCTCACGGTCGCCATCACCATGACCTGTGGCTTTTCCTTTATGCTCTTCGGCTGGGATCAGGGTGTCTTTGGCGGCATCTTGAACGACCCGACGTTTGCCAAACAGTTCAAGAACCCAAATCCGACAATCCAAGGCCAGATTGTCTCGACCTATGACATTGGCTGCATCATCGGGGCCATCATATCCATCTATTTCGGAGACAAGCTGGGCCGCCGCAAGTCGATTGCCATGTCGTGTGCCTTTGTCATTGTCGGAGGCCTGTTGCAAGCGTCTTCGTTCTCCCTGCCACACATGATTGTTGGCCGCATTATTGCCGGTCTGGGAATCGGCCAGAGTACAGCCGTCGTGCCCATGTGGCAAGCTGAGACCAGCAAGGCAGAGCACCGCGGCAAGCTTGTTGCTCTTCAAATGGTCATGGTGATCTTCGGAATTGATCTGACCAGTTGGATCAATCTGGGAATGACTTATGTCTACACGAACGAAGTCAGCTGGCGCTTTCCCATCGCGATGCAATGCTTCTGGGCCTTCGTCACGCTCGGACTGCTTGCTTGCACGGTGGAGTCTCCTCGGTGGCTTTGCTACAAGGAAAGACATGCGGAAGCTCAGGTGGTGCTAGCTCGCCTTGCCGCCAAAGACCGCGAGGACACATCGGTCAAGATCGAGCTGAAGATCATCAGCGATGCTATCGCAGCCGAAAAGGCTGGCGGAGCCATTGGATGGCGGGAGGTCTTTTCAGGTGGTGAACAGCAGAACTTCCGGCGCCTTGTTTTGGGCGCCGGTACGTCCGTCTTTCAGCAGATGGGGGGTATTAACGTGGTAAGGATCGAGATCCAGACTGATTCCTTCCACTCTCTTTTCAAGCCTGCGAGGTTTTTCACGGCGCGATACTGACAGTAACTGCGCCAAACCCGACAGGTTGTATACTATTTCCCGGTGATCCTGACCAAGTCCTTTGGCTTCAGCAACAGGCTTGCTCTGATCCTGTCAGCCATTGACTTTATTTCCCTCTGCGTTTGGGGCTCCGCCATCATGCTCCTAATCGATCGCTTCGGACGTGTCCCTCTCATGCTGTTTGGGTCTATTGGATGCGGCGTTTGCTTCACCCTTACCACCATCGGTCTCGGCATTGGGACAAAGGCCAGCTACGCCATGGCCGTGTCGTTCATGTTTGGCTACCATCTCTTCTACGTAAGTCACATCTCTCTATCTCTCTATCTCTCTCTTCCAAACTCCTCGAAAGTCCGAAAATGACATTTTCACTTGATTCTAGGGTCTCTCTTACCTGGCCATTCCATTCCTATACCCCTCCGAAATCAACTCATCACGGATGCGCAGCATTGGCAACAGTGCCGCCATGGTCACCAACTGGGTTTTCGTGTACGTCGTGGTGATCATGACCCCCAGCGCCATCGCAAACATCTCCTGGAGGTTTTACATCATCTTCGCCGTGCTTAACTTTGCTTGGTTTCCCCTCGTCTGGTTCTTCTACATCGAAACCAAAGGCCTGTCCTTGGAAGAGGTCGACCGCATGTTCAAGATCAAGTATCACGCTGGCAAGAGCATGAGCTACAAGGAGGCAGCGCGCTTGGCGAAGGAGGAGACTGAGGAACTCAAGAAACAGGAGGAAGAAGGTGGCGACAAAGTCGTCGTGGTCGAGGTTGAGGAGAAGTAACATGTAGCTGACCCACAGTCATCCACTTGTTACGAGACTTGTCCATTAGCATACTGACCCGAGTTTGGAACCATGAAGACAGCTGTCGTCTTCATTCTCAAAGGGTTGTCAACGCTGGTGGCTTGTGGAGGCTGACCATTTTGGTGGGGGGGGAAGGAACCCAAGTAGGGAACTATAGGGCAAACTCTTTTGCCAGCATATAGACATGTCCTCAAAGAAACGTATTGATAAAAGGTAAACGAATTTTGCCTTTCGCCGTACAGTGGGAAGCTCATTGCTCTGGGGCGCACTCAACTAAGGCATTTCTGTCTGCACCATTTTAGCCTATCATTTCGCTGCGCAGCTGGAACACAGCGTACCTGGTGGAAATATGGGCGTTTTTACACTGATTCCCACGATAGTAGTCCGTGTCCACAGCATATGGAAGAAATGACCACCATGTACATCCGGTAAGCTCTCACAAGGGCATGAGCATTCATCATAAATACCCAGGTGCAGGAGAATATTTTAACAAGATCTATATGACTCTCTCGAGACGAACTCCTTGCCACGTATTGGAATTGATCAAATATGGAAACGGATTTCTACTCGTTAGAGTGATGTATGACATCTGACTCGATCGAGTCCGGATATCTAAGTCCACCTTGCTTGCGGACTTCGTCCATGACTTCCATGACGAGGATACTTTCGTCCCAAGGCATGGTCTCACTTTCGAGTTTACCGTCTCGAATGCATCGCGCTGCTTCATCTGCCTCGTAAAACATGCCATGCCCGTTCGCCGGAAAAGTCAACTCAACATCGCGGATGGTAATCGCCAAACCCCCCTGCTTGGCCGGAATCACTCTGTATCGGGTAGGCTGGAATGCAGGCCCGTAAACCTGAATTTCGCCTCGTGTGCCCTGGATACGGATCGCCGGGCCAGCACTGTTCTTGTGGTCGGGATCGGTAGCTACGGCAAAGGCCGTCATTGCTATCCCATGAGAAGAGCTGTTGGGGAGGTTGGAAGGGGTCGAGGTCGGAAAGGATAGCAGAACCGTCGTGGTCTGATCTACGCTCGTGGGCTCATATTTGTTCATGTAGGACAGGATGCTCGACGGAGGCTTGCGTTGATCTCGTGGTAGAGTGTGATAAAGCGTTTGGAACACCCAGGTAAGGGAGTAAATGCCAACTGGACGCCGCGTTGAATGTCAGGGACCAAAAGTCTGCTCAACATCTGAGAAGGAAGGAGTAGACGTACTTTCCAGCAGAGCTCCACCCGCAAGCTCATAAGTGAGCTTCCGAGGAGTTTCTTTGAGAGAAATATCGGGGTGGATGCCGAAGGACGTATCGGCCATGACGCGAAGGACTTCGCCAATCTCCCCCTGCTGGATCGACTCTCGTACTTGAATGCTCAGCGGGAAAAACCGTGTCCAAACTGCGTCGAGCAAGAACAGGTTCTTCTCCTTTGCCGTCTTGTATAGAACCTTTGCCTGTGCGGCGTTGACTGTTAGGGGTTTCTCGCAGACGACGTGCTTGCCGCCTTCGAGAGCCAGCATCGCATGTTGGAAGTGATGCGAATGTGGACTTGCGACGTAGACAATGTCGACGTTGGCGTCGTTTATAAGGTCCCCGTATGAGCCGTAGGCAGCGCAAGCTTCGGGGATGCGAAGATCGCGACAAAAGCGCTGAGCACGGTCTTTGCCCGAAGATGACGCGACCGCCGCCACGACATGGGCTACGTCTGTGGTGTTGCGGGTGCTCGGGTCTTTGAGAAGATCGCCGGCAAATTCTGTGTGCTCCAGCTATCAGACCCAACTATTTCAACCCCCAAACTCGACATTTGACGGGAAATACTGACTTTCAGCAATCCAACCAGTGGCTAGAAAGATCGAGAATCTAAATGTCAGTGATATCCATTCAGGTTTGCTGCAAAAGACTGCAAATTTCCGCAGCTGTAGAAGAGGGCTCAAAAAAAAATCCATCTTACCAAGGATTCCCCATCTGACTGTGTAGACCATGTTTGTTCTCTTTTAGTCGTCTCCTCGAAGTCTACGAGCAGAGTAAAACCAGACGGATAGACGGATATTTGCTGAGTTTTGAGACCCCTTGTCACTGAGACCACAGGACCGGGTATCCGTATTGCGCGAATTGTTCTGATGATCCTAAACGGGATAATGGGCTTGTGAGCCTTTACTTGGGGTGTCTGCAGCCTCTATCATCCCTGGTCACTAATAGCCGGTTGCTCCTTTCTATATTGAACATTTCAACTCAGAGAGTGGATCCCCCGGCAAGTTGATATTGCCCGGGCCGGCCTGTTCCCAAGTGGAGGCCGGGTATCATTCAACGGCGACAACGTCGCTAGTTCTTTGCACCTATTTGGGACGCCGGCCGGCCGCCCTAACTCGGGAATTAGGAGAACCCTAGCTCGACTCCGGCTCAGCCTTAGGGCTCGTTGAGCGGTACTCAGGATCACATAGCCACAGCACCGAATGGCCTAGTCACGACTCATGTCAAGTGGCGAGATGACAAGTGTGGCCCCACACTATACCCCACTGCCCCACTAATCAAAAAATGAAAGATATATATTTGATTACATTGAAATTGTGTCACAATTCACAACAGTTCAGCGTTGGTGGTGTAATGGTAGTAAGTTGCAACGCTTCGCAATAAAGCAAGTTCCCTGCTAACAGCTGGAAGACATTGGGGCCTTCCATCGGTATTAAGCCATTGCGATAGCTCTAGCCCCGGGTTCGATGTAAGTAACGTGTTGTGAGCAGTATCGAGAGTAGAACAAATCATCTAACAGATCATGGCAGTCCCGGCTAACGCATATATCACCCTTTTTTTTTTTTTGGCGCTCTTGCGCTCTTTGTTTCGATTTTTTGGGTTGCTCTTTCTTTCTTTGCTGGCACCGTCACGTTCGGGATTAGCATGCCAAGCAATGTGAACCTAAACAGCACCTACATCAGAAGATCGAATTCTCTTATACTCTTGCCTCCTCCAAGTCAATTGCTTTCTCAATTCTATTCAGACGCCACTCGGGGCCCAGTTGGAATGTGACCTCTGGGTTTTCCACCGATTAGGACATATATTGCCATGTCCTATCTGGAAACCTCGCGCTGTGGTGGCTCCCCTCGTGGCCAATGACATGCGTTTCTGAGCCGCTGCGAGAGTGACACCGACCTTGTTTACCAACCATGAGACCAAATTCCTCCAGCCTCGCGCCCCATGTTCAACGCCTATGATTTCCATCATCATATGAAACGACGACGCTGTCCGGATCCTGCGATGTGAAATCACCCACCATGCTCATTCTGTAAGTCGTCTCGCGCTCACTTACATGTGTGCATCTCGGGCGAGCAGTCGACCTCATCTTTGCCCAAGATGACTCCGCAAACAACAATCTGCGCCTCGCAGACCTCCTGAGCCGCAGCTGTTTCCAGGGGACCACGATGCTTCAACCGACCTGTACCGAACTGTAGCTGGAGTAGTGGGACAGAGAATGGTAGGCAGAACCAGAATATAGCACTCATTTTTCTGAGCTTGCACAGTTGTCTCTCACCTCTTTTCTATCGACCTCCGGTTCACATTGGCACGCCCGTTGGCCTCTCTTTCTGTGGTTCAACTCCAGATATTGCATCTTTGACACAATCGTCCAGGCCTCTTTCCCGATGAGCTGAGATCTACGCAGAGCTCACGCCAATATAGTCGGCGCTACTATCCTTTGATAGAGCGGACAGTCTGGACCCAGTTGCCCGGGCTTACCAGGGCGTCTGGACAGACTGGCCGAGGGGCAAGACATGGCGCCTCACATTAACACTGTAGCCAACGTATGCCACAACATTGACCAATTCGCCCGCAGTCTTTGTCACGGTTTGCGGCGTTCAGCTCTGGAATATCATTCGATACCTGGTCGTCAAGTTCGGTACTCCTAAGAAGCTTGAGTTGTTTACTCCTCACCTCCAGAGACAACAGACCGTGTCGAAAAATGTAGGTTCCCATTTACTTACATCTGCAGAACGTATGCTGCGTTTAGCATGGAAACATCGACGGACGAGCACTGGTAAACCCTCCCTACGCTCATATTCGATCGGTGTCCTTGCCATAATATATGTTATCTTACTCTGGACTGCTGGCGTTTTCTCTAATCTTACCATCAATGCTGACTCAACAAACGGACCTTGATCAAGTCTTGTCAGGAGTAACCATTGTGGAATATGAAATCAGACTTATTACCATATTGTGCACAATGCCGATTTCTCGACCGAAGATAAATTCAAGGTGATTCTCCAACGCATTGCCAAAAGGGCCCACGATGTTCAAATGAGTTTCAAGTATGCTCTCCTATGGATAAGACTGCGAGCTCATGGATATGACAGACTTCAGTCCGCTGTTGAGCCAGACAAGACGAGCACCAAATACGCAAGGTGAGATCGAAAGGCCTTTCTGGTCCGCAGTTTTGCTCGAAAATCTATGATATGTTATGTGAAGACGATCGAATGGGTGGGAACGCATATAGAACCCGCAAGTCCTCTGGTCCTGCCAGTGCCGTCGATTGATATATATCCTAGAAATTTTGTACAATATTGTTACGAGACACGACAATTACGTCCCATTGACCCTTCTGGAGACGATGCGTGGACGATGCGTTCCAGTGTGAAGGAGCTGTCGAGGTTACAGGACGCTCCTTTCAATGAGATTCGCGTTCCTCTTCGACCCTGCATTTTCGTTGGAGCGGAGAGGCATAGGATCAGTAGATTGAAAAGGCAACGTCCACCAGGAGTAGAAGTACACGACGGTGGAAAAGCGTAGGCTGAGGACCTCTAGCAGACGTAATCGGGTGGTGGAAGGCCTGCACAATTTCCACAGCCGCTGACAGTTGCATGGAAATTCAGCGTGTAAACTCAGAATGCTCCAGCATTGCCAAAACACGTCTTTGTGTACCATGGCAGTGCAGTCTGAGGGTGGCGACAGTTCTGTTCCCTGATCTTGGATGATGGTGACGTCCATGAGCCCCAGAACTGTGTCTTTAGCGAGTGAATTGGTGGATTCGAGACCAGGCATGGCAACACCGGCGAATTTCCAAGATCTGGCTGTCGGAGGAGAAATAGGAGTGATGGCTGCCATCTCGCCTGCAGTCTGCGAGTTGCCTTACTGGGAGGGGCGAGTGTTCCTAGGACTCTCGAGATATAGAGCCCTGCCATCTGTTGTTTTGGGTCATCCCCCCATGGACCTCATTCATCGCTTTCCGTCTTTTCCTGGACTCCCTCTCTCTCCCGTCGTCTCTTCTCCTGTCTTGCCATAGGATGTTCGTCGTCTTGGGGGATCTCACCAGCTTTTAGCCCAAGAGCCCTGCGTAGTCGTTCACTCTCTTGTTCCTTTGCCTCGGCCAACTCATGCACCTGGTAACTTTTGAGACCCTTTCCATCCACTCTCCTAGCACCACTGCCTCCTGATCTCCCACCGTCCCGATTCTTCTCCCGTTCCATCTCTTTGGTCAGTTGTTCTCTCAGCTTGTCGCACTCTTCGTCTATTTTCTCCTCCTCAAGTTCGTCGTCCTCCAGCTTCTCCCTCAGTTCCAGAACTTTCACTTCGATGGCTCGTAGGCGGTCATGGTTGAGGATTTCTTGGTCGGGCTTCCGAGTCTTGGGCCCTTGTCGCGCAGAGTCATGGCTGTAGGGGGCGCCGATGCCGACGGCGCGAGGTTTGAGGACGGACAGGTTGCGCTGAACATAGCCTGATGTTCCTGAGCCGCGCGGCGTGGAGAGACCGACATTGGACGACATGTTATGGGCTTTAGTTCTGTACTTCTCGCGTGGATTGTAAGTTGGTGATGAGTGGGGGATTCGATTTCCTGGTACTCGGCTCACGAAAAGCCAGGACGTTGCGTTATCGATAAGAATCACGTGCCTGTTTTTCTCCTCGTGTCACCATCCTTGCTCCGCTCCAGTTGCCACTTCTCTTACCAAGGGCAGGGAGGGCCTACCTGAACAAGTAAAAGTAGGTGCGTAAGTAGAGGTCCTGGTGCCTAGCTAGAAGCCTAAGGGCCACTCACCCAGGGCTCGCCAGGGTCCCGCCTTGCCATCTTGCCCTCTCAGGTGCCACCTGGTCAATGCATCCGCCTGGGATCCCTTGGGTGATGGCGCCTCTACAGCCGGAAAATGAATCCGCATCTGCGTCGAATGTCGCGCCCCTTCAACCACTCACCATTCAGCACTATCTACTGCCCGTCCACTCTAACTTGTTCCATTTAAATGCTCACGCCTATTAAGTTCTCCGTACCGCTCGTTCTCTTCATCCCTCTCATTTTCATTTCCCAGACCTCATTTCTTGTCGTTGGCCACCAAATCCTCCTGCCTCCAGCCCTCGGCCCTCAGCCCTCAGCCCTCATTCCGCGGCATTTGAAGTCATTCTGCGTCGTGAAGTCGACCCATCCACGCTACTTCTATACCTTGATCCCTATTGAGACCTTTCCCCCTGTCTTTTTTTCCTTTTTCCAGATACTTGGTCTCCAGAGATAGCAACTGGTTTGCAAAGTGCCTCAATTTTCACTCTCGGATGAGGCCCTTTGGCCCCCTCAGCCTCACTATGTATCACTCTCCTCTTTGGGCCCTGCCCAGGGGAAGCCGTCAACCTCTCCCCAGGGAAATAAATACGGCGGACTTGCCTCTCCATTGCGTCATCGTCCTCCCTGCCCAAGCTCATCGAATCCGTCTCTGCTGTCGTCCTGGTTATCCGTCCTATACATGGATGCCATATTACCTGGCCAAGGAAGCATGCTACCGACTTGGTGAACCCGTCCTTGCCACCCCTGTTGTCCACCAGGTCGATACCGGTCCTGGGGGAGGCCGTCGAGATGGAACTGGCTAGGAACAGGTTGCATGGGTATCCGGTGACCCTGAGGACCCGGTTGTCCCCCTTCCCCAAAGGTCATAGCGCTCATGTCTGGGTATAGTGTGCCCTCCATCACACCCATATCTCCATCTTGCAGCATTGCGGGATCAGCGCCGCCACCCAGACTCTCTTGGAATTGTTGACCGAGGCCATCCGGATATGCCTCCGGCGGGCCGTCAGATAGATCCCCCTCCTTATCTACGTCCATCGCGGACGGTGGTCTTCTCCTTCGCCCTGCGCCACCATCAAGTGCCGGTTCTACAAAGGTGAGTCTGTCGTCACTGGTGGTGGACAATGGGGTCATGGCAGAAGAGGGGGGTTTGTTGCGCGACAAATCTGGTGACAGGAGATCCGGTGGGCGATATGATCGCGAATGATGCGAATGAGCCTGCATGTCCAAGACTGAATCTGACCGGCTCCCTAGCACGCGCGTATCATCTATCGGTGGAGGACTCAATCCCAGTCCTCGGAGAATCGCGTCAGTCGATACCCGACCGCCACTCTCGTCTGGAATCACTCCTGGGAACCCGCGACCTTCCCGACATGCCCAGTAGAGTCTCTGGAGCGCCTCGTCAAGCACGTCCTGCATACCCCAATACCTAGAGCAACAAACATCAGGCTTACTGTGCAAGATGGTTCACTGCGAGAGCGCTGGTATTGATACGGTCAATAACTTACCAATCTCTTGCCTCTCTTCGTCGTCGCGCGCTATATTCACACGTGCTCTCACTTGCTATGCATGCCGAGCAAGGGGTATTGCCATCGCACTACGCTAGAAATCAGCCATCTGACAATGCTTCTGCACTAGGATCGTCAACAAAAAACAGTCCAAAGGGGGTCAATTCACCTTGCTCTTCTTGATCTTGCAGCGATCGCAGGCTCTCCCTATCCTGACCCGTGATTTACCGGGCTCACCGCTTCCTGCTTTGGGTGAAGGCTTAAGATCTTGGGCGTCTTTGCGGTTCGGCATTTTGTTGCCACGATGGGCGCTGGTCCAAAATCAGAACGCCGGGTTTTCAGATGGACGGTGTTGACGTTGCGACCCTGTCCTATCGACCAACAAGGAGAGGTTCTCCTTGCGCAACTCGGCGGCAGTGAAGACACTCTGATTAGATGGCTACGTTATCGAGAATTTGTCAGGGTATGATTCTAATCGATAACTGACGGCCACAATTCTGTGGATAGCCACACATCCTTTCCCTCCAGATTTCGACACTATCTCAGCCACAGTATCAGCCACAACCTGTTCGATTGTTCCTGGGACAGAGAAAAGCCGGGATCACAGCAGACCAGTTCGTCTCAGCCAAAATGTTGGAGAAACGGTCGAAAGATGGAGGGAAATGGGCATGGGACGAGAGTTGGCAACGAGACCCTGCTTGGCCCAGAGTCGGGTTGTAAGGTTGGGAAAGAGAAAGATCGGGGCAAGTGGCCGCACGATATGCAACTGTGGCAGAATCGCCCTGCTAAGATGGATCTGTCCAATCGGCTCGACACACAAGTGGCGGCCTCCCTAATGGAATCGTCAATGAGTACCAGTACTTGGACGCACCGCTACGGTGCCTCTTCCACCATGTTCTCTTTGCCTTCGACCCTGATCGGCCTCCACAATCTGCCCGAAAATCTTTTTGCAAGCAAAAGGGCAAAAAGCCCTGGTCCTAGCCCCCTGCTAGTCGCCCACTACTAGAATTTGCGTGGACATGTATCTGCGATCCGGGAGCCATGGCAATCTTTCTCCAATTATTCGTTGAGGAGAAGCAACTCCCGACCCCTTCAATTCGTTATGTTAGAGAAAACCTGATGCTGGTTGGATCCTAGCGTAAGGTTAAGCCACACTTCCTTGCAACTAGGCCTCGTCTACATACGACTGGGGCTGGATGGTGGCTGGATAGCGTTTGATCCCATTCTTACCACACTCTGGCACATCGACAGCATTGATGACTTTCGGTGAGTGGCTCTTCCCCTTGGGGCGAAACTACAGGGGTCGATACCTCTAGATCCAAACCACTGGGCAAGAGTGGTCACTGTACACAAGACGGTGACCAAGTAGACGTCTTTTGCTGGGCTGTGGACGCATAGATCCCCCACAAGCCCGCAAACAATCGAATCACCAACCGTGGTAAACTGTCGCCCTGAAATTGAAACATGGAGGACAAGCCCCGATAATTGGGTTCGGATTGGCCTCTATTTTGAAGATCAAGAGTTGGCATTTCCTAGGATCTCACCAGAACTCGCCCGGAAGTTTTATCCCGGTGGCATTTGCCGCAGGAGGAAGACACAAGTGTGCTCCACTGGTCAGCCTCTCTTTGTCCAAGCCGGAACAGAGTCCCGTCCTCTCAGGAAACTCGAGCTTCGGGGTATTGTTTGAGGATAATGGTTCCCAGAATGGATGCTGGTGCTGTTGCATCTTCCCCGATCGCATTGACTGGTTTCAGTGCGAATGCTCTACATCAGTTGAACGCAGCCGCCTCTCCGATTTCTCCAGCACGATATACCTCATGCAACATTACCGCCAGATACAATGTCTCTGTGTCTTTTCTCCGCGATGGCCTCTGAGCAGGCTCGAGCGATGCCAGAAGCCTCCTTTACTGCCTTATAGCGGAAAGCCTTCCCTCAAAGTCCCTTTCCTTCGCACGCAATACACAGTGGTCCCCCTGCTTTCAATGTCAACAGTCTTCCAGCCTTAAAGGCACAGAATCGCAGTTGCATCTTGCAGTGGATGGTGATTGCCTCATAATGAATGGTCAAAAGCATTGGTTGATGAAGCAAGACTCGAGACAAGGCATCGCATCATCCGTTTTGAGTTGTGAACCTGCTAGGTGAATATGCTACAGTGGCTTCGGCACACAATGTAAAGACTCTTCAATTTTGAGGCCGGGGAGGATAGGATGTCTTGAGGATACTTTACGCAACCCGAGCAGGGCTTCTTGTCTCGGTACCAGCAATTCTGCCTTGGCTTATCAGCGTTCGGGCCTGATGATGACAAAATCTTTGCGAAGGAGAGCCGTTTGACCCAACAAACAAAGACATCGTCAGGTCTTATTCATGGCATGAAGTTGGCCGTTCATTCTGCACAATCGAAAGATGTTAGGCATACATCATCCTAACCCTGACCTTAAGAAGTGTTCACATTGATTGATGAGTGTACTGATGCAGCAAGCAGTCTCGGATTCACAGACGAGTCGAACATGTCCCTCTCTACAGCGGCGACCATTCAACCTGATTTCTTTGCTCGATCTCGAACAAGCCAGTCTACGATTCTAGTACAGGTCCAAAAGCTATAAAAGTTTTTGACGCAAGTGTGACTTGATCTATACAAAAAGTGATGGGAATTCAGCACACATTCGATCTTGGCGTCCGTGCATGGGAATACGGCCACCGACTTTTCCATCTGAAAAACAAGGCAAGGCTGACTAGGTTGCGTGGACTTGAGTTACCGAAGGAGTCTTCTGGCGTGCTACGCGCAGTGTGGCACAAGTGCAAGAGAAGACAAAATGGTCATACCACAGGCAAGGGCGATATTTTTCGACGTCCAGTGCCGGAACATCCATCCTTTTAAACCCCCCCCCCCCCCCCCCCTCCTTTGCGCCCGAATCGAGAATGCTCATCAAGACGAGAAAGAACATCAAGGCTGCCGTGGGCGCAGGGACGAGAGAGTAAATGCAAAAAGGGGGTCGTCAAGAGGAGAGGATCACAAAAACACGTCCAAAAACAAAAAACAAGAAAAAGACAGAAAGGAAAAACCAAGACAATTCCTAAAGGATGGGGAGTTTACGGAGGAAAAAGCAGAGTCAAACTTCACGAGCATGGGGAAGGGGGCGACATAAAAGAGGCTCGAGTCATTTCCACTTTCGAGAGTTGGAAAAGGGAAGACACATACGCACCGAGGGAGACGAAAAAGAGATCGAATAGAAGGGAGATGCAGCAGATATTAGTTCTAGCTAAAACTACAACTGTCGAGGCATAGATAGGTAAAGTAAGGGGCTGTCTTCCTATTATAGGAGACAGGTCTGTAATAGATCTGTTCCCTGGCCTGCTTACGGACAGTACCTGGTCCCATGTGTGTGTCCTACCTACCAAACGTGCCAAGGTATGTATGTATGTCTGTAGGTATGTATTATGGATCTTGGCTTACTGTCCTCGGTACCTCTCTGTAGTCTTACACCCTTCTTCTCTCTCCTTCCTTTTCCTTCTTCAGCCTTTGCACGCACAGCTGCGCACGAAAGCACACACGGGTTCCTCACTCATCACGACCCTGAAAATAAATCACAGATAAAGAGGAAGTGGATAGCAAAATATGTAGATAAGACACTGGAATATATTGGAGTACACACAAATATACATACATACATACATACATACATACATACATACATACATACATACATACATACATACATACATACGTATTATGTAAAGCTCACTTCTACCCCATAATGGATAGATAGAGAGATAGATAGACACATAGACATACATGCATTGCATACATAGACATACACACATACATACCAACCAAATTGGCGAGTAAATGATACATGATACCGTCAGAATATACCCCGTATACTTGGGTACCTAGGTAGTTACCAATTTGGCTGGCTGGCTGGTTGATTGACTGACTGACTGACTGGCTGGCTGGCTGGCTGGCTATGTTCGAAAATCCCAAAACAAATTCTTCCGCAATCCGCAGTGCCTCGTTCCAAAGGCGACATTGACATACCCTCTCACGCAAGCTTTCAGCTGTCCCACATTCCCTCGCCCAGCTCTAGCAGTGCATCCTGTAACCCCTTTCTCGCCCTGATGGCCTCCTCTCGGTCTTCGCCCCTCAACTTTGCGCTGAAACACAACTCGACCAGTGTACGCAACTCGTCGTATGTGTACCCAACATCCTTCTTCTGCGATTTGCAGTCCCGGACGTATTGGAGGATCGAATCTGGTCCGGTGAGGAAGAGGTCGAAGTATCGACTCGACGAAGTGAGCAGCCCGTCGTCGTTATCTGCGTCGGTGTCATCGGCGCCTGAGATACCAAGACCAGCCGGGTCCTTGTTGTCGTTGGTCCAACTTCGTCGCTTATGCGTCGTGTTCGCAAGTATCGCTCTTAGATTCTGCTGCACCACCATGGTATCGATCCTGACTCTCTCTGCTCCGTTTGTATTCATGACCCCGATCGCATCTGCAGCGGCCACGAGATAGCGGTCCACCAGCTGTGAAAGCCCCCTGAGGATGAAATTCCTCTCTCGGGTGCCCAAGAAGGACGCGATATTGGAGTCGAAAGCAATGAGATCATTGTTGAGCTCGAGGATCAGCGGGGATGCCGAAGACGGTGGAGAAGGCAGGACATAAGGATAGAGTCCCGAATCGAGAGGTGGAGCACCTGCAGAGTCTCGGTTGTCTGAAGGCGAGGTCGGGCTTGTATTATAGTCAGGCCCGCGTAACGTACGCGATAGTTGGTGGATGATACCACACCGGACGTCGATGTGGAGGGTCAGCAGGCATGTCTGTGCCAGTGAGCGGAAGGAGGACACCACCGTGTCGAAAGGGATGGCGGTCTCGGGTGTGAGAGGCAGGAAAACTGGCACAACAGCGCCAGGGTACGAGGGCGATTTGCTGGATCCACCACTTCGTAGACTGGTGATCAATGTCCACCGCCGCACGCTCCTGTTTTGTGAACCGCTTCTTGCATGTGAAAGCCCCATATGCGTGCCGCTCTCGACATGTCGAATCTGCGCCAGCGCGGCGGCCAACCATTGCATGCTGTTGTAGAGCAGAGAAAGTTGATGAACTGATTTGGGATCGGAGATAATGTCGTAGGCAGAGAGCGGGTTGGTCTTGGTTGTAGAAAGCAGAGTCTGCACCTCTTTGGCGATCATGCTGGGTCGCGACATGCTCTTGTTGGTCGATTTGTCGTAGTTCAGCAGCTCCAGTGCGACATCATGGACATCGCCCGATGCTGCAAGCGACGCCGCGGTTTTGGTCGACAAGGTGGTGCTGCCGTTCTGGTCGTTGTCCGAAGACGCCACACGACTCACTAGAGCCTTGTAGAAACCATAACACTTGTCATAGTATGTGACAAGCTGGTCAATGAGGAGTTGGGTGAATATTTGATCCTGAGGAATCGAGCTCAGCATCCCCGAAAAGGCGCGGATCAATGCCATGAAAGATACTGTGCCTTTGAAGATCGGATGCGGCGAATGCTTCGTCCACTGCGTGTCTTCGGAGAAGGCTTCCAGGTCAATCATGGCTTGCGCACAGAGCTCCGTGACTGCTTCTTCCAGCTGAGGATGGAACACATTGATGAGGAAGTCGTCGAGGAACGTGGTCAATGTGCTCATGGGGATATGTGCTGTCGAGGGTACAATATCCTTCAGGCGCTGGAGGAATGTCAAGGACGGAGGTAACAAGATGGTCATGTTGAAGACGCCGGGCTCGACCAACAACTTGTGAGCCGCCACCGAGCTGTCCTGTCCACTGCGGTCTGTTATCAGATCTGGGCCATCCCTGCCCCGGGATTTGCTGACGAGGCCCGGTACAGAGCTCTTGAGGATCTCGTTCAATTCATCCTCTTCGGCTTTCATGGATTCAGATTTCTGGTCCATCTCCGCCAGGCGGAACATCTTCTTGTTCCTGTCCCGCTGAGGTCGAGCAAAGACGTCGGTGTTGGCGGTGCCGCCCAATCCAGACCGCAACGTCAAGTGATCGCCGTCCGTAGCTAGGTAGTCGTGCAGGATCGACCGCATCTCCATCTGATACAATTTCCATAGCTCTTTGAAGCCCGTGGTATATTTGTCCGGCTTGCTAGCCTTCTCCCTGACTGCTATGCCTCCAATTACCTCGTGCAGCACTCGATGGCTCTCAGCGATGGCTTCGAATTTGGAATACAAGGTCCACAGAAAGTCAGATAACACTTGTGCTCTCCCATCATTCACCTGCAACGAGTATGTCTTTCGGTTCGCTTTGTTAAACTGGGCTCTCAGATGACTGGGATATTTGGCATCAATGTCGTGGTTAGTCTTCTCCGCGACCTTGTACAACTCGATTGGCATTCGCTGCTCAATTCTCGAAACAGCCTCCCCGAGTTGACCCAGTTTGTTGAGCGATTCAATAATCATGTGGATATAGTAGAAAGTATCGGTTTCAGGATTCTTCGTGGGATCTTCCACCATGGGTGTCGTGAGGTCGACGTTGTTCAGGTAGTGGCTGAAGGGTCGATCCCAAGCATTGATGCCCACGGCCATCATGTTGTCTTTTGGATCTCTGTCTTCTCCGTTGGCTTTCTTCCCCTTCCACCGGTCTTTACAATAAGGACTTCTGAGATAGAGATGATCATGCAACTCCTCAATGAGAATATCCAACAGGGTACTCTCTTGATTGTTGAAATAGCTTCGAAGATCCGAGATGGCGCCAATTCCATCAAACTCGCTTTTCGTAATGTTTTTGAGGCTGTCCATCAAGATGTCAACAGCTCCGAGGAATTTCTTCTCACTGATTTTCTCTTCCAGCTTTCCCGGTATGAGCTTCAAGGACTCGATTTTGCTGAGAGTGACGAGCATGTCGTCCAGCTCGCCGCTCTGTTCGGCCAGCGTCCTCAATTCCGGCCGAGTAGTCAGCATGCCGTCCTTGACGTTCATCAAGCCGAGCTTCAAATGCCTCACACGACTTTGACTGTCGCGGATGGCATTCTGGATTTTGTGATAGGTGCCCACAGCGCTATTGAAGTCGGCATAATGCTCGTTGACCACAGACTTTAAACACTTCTGTAGGTCGACGTGTGTGTTGGCAAAGTCCCCCTCTTTGTCGGCAAGGCCCAACGAACTGGGGTCCATGAGCCGAAGAGCCATCTTCACGGGGACGCATTCGTCACCCTCCATATCCTTCCAATTGGACTGTATGTGCCGCAAAATTTCGTCCATGCTCTTTGGTGGACGTCGCGGAGAGTAATGTCGGTTGGCCGTGTCTGGAGGAGGGTAGTTCTGGGGAGCAGTGTAACCGTTGGTGGGCGCCTGTTGGTTTAGGGTGGATTGACTCGGTCTCGAGGGAATGTTGGACGGAGGAGGCATCTGTCCTCGCATCTCTCTGCCATCTCGACTCCGACTCTCATTGTATGCTCTCTGGCCCTCATTGTACGCTCTCTCCCTCTCCCGGAACGATGGGGTTGGCTGCCTCTGCTCGTGCTCGCGCGTATCCCTTACTCTTCCATGGTCATATTCATTCCTCGAAGGAGCAGGCCCGTCTCCGAATCTTGCACGCGGCATTCCCCCATATCCCCCTCCTCCTGCTGCTGCTCCTCCCCCCTGACCTGACAGCGTTGAGTGCAGTGAACTCGGCGAATCTCGGTCGCGCTGGTCATATGGGTTTGATCTACGCCGGCGCTCTTGAGAACCAAAACTGTTGACGGAGGGAGAGGAACCGTTATTCTGTGCATTGAGATATGGATCCGCGTAGCGACTGCCGGAGACAGAATTGGAAGCGTTTGTAGGGGCGTATGGGTTGGAGTCGTTGGACTGGCGAAGTCCCCCATACCCGGCGTTGACGGCATAAGGATTATTACCGCTCATAGTGGCGGAAATTACAGAGCTCAGGACAGGAGAGTCGCATCTTTGATCAGATGCAAAGGGAAAGAGGCATTTGGCCTGCACAGGCCCAAGTTTTAAAACATGGTCAACGATGAGGTTGAGCGTGTAACGGAAAGTGTAAGATGAATCGCGACTTGTATGAGAATTGGAGACGCAGGCACCTCATCAAGAACTCCTCTCCTCGTTCTTCCAATGGGGGCCACATCCATCACATTTACCAGCAACTCCTATGAGATATTCTCTGTTACTCTATACTCCTTCATAACCCCCTTGTTGGATATCTCAGTGTCTCGTATTCTTTCTATCTTTTGATTCTACTCCTCGTTCACCCGCAGCACCTACAATCAGGCAATATAGCCAAATCCACTACCCCTACACGCGATCCAAAAGTCCTTTACAATATCGTTCGTTTTCCTGGCACCTCGTAGTGTTTCCACCTGCGCCACAAAGCGGTTGCGTTGTTCTGGCGTGGTGGCGCTGAGGGCTTTGTCGCTCATAACCTTGGACTCCTGCTTGATCGCTTCTCTGAGCACAGCTTTACTCAACATGAACTGTTTCTGCACGAATTTCTTGAGGGTTTCGGTCAGGCTGTCGATCTCCGAACGCGCACATTCTCCTCCCAAAAGGTGGAGCACAAGTGAGAGAATTCGCGGCCCGTAGATTTGAAGCACCCCTTTGAGCCGTGCACTCACCTCGCTCTCTAACCCGTTGTCCGGCCCACTGACCTCTGCAAGAGCTGTAAAGAATCCAGCTGCTAGTCGACGCGGGAGCGTGTCAGCGTCTGCCATGACAATCAAGCCCATTTCCATGGACACGGCTGCTGTATCTTGACTGTCTTGCATGGCAAACCACATTGCACCCCACTTGTTGAGCAAGCGGCCCAAGAACTCCAGCGAACTGGATGGGAAATCGCTATCTGGGAGTTGCTTTGTTGTCTGGTATGTCGACAGAAGGTGCTGCTGAATGGGAATGACTGCATACAAGAGACCGCTGACGCTGGTGGGAAGATGTTGCGGTGACACAGAAGCCAGGAAACTAGACGCACAAGCCATTGTGTTGTCGATGCTTGGGTTATCGAGAGTGATGAACTGCTTGACCAGCTCGAGTCCGGTCGGATCGGTAACCTTGAAGGGTGACGGATGCTCCTCGGTGAATCCGGATTTGATGAAGTCGCAGCAGGCGTCTACAAATACGTTGTCACTGTATGGTCGGGCTCTCTGTAGAGTTGCCTGGTACATGGCGAGTACACTCTGCTGAACGATGCTACCATGACGGCTTGTCCAAAAATCTGAAGAACACGGGCTCGAAGCTTCCAAGTCCACGGGTACATCGGCCGGAGAACGCAGGCCTTTGCCGATTGAGGCCAGAGTCTGCATAATGTCAACACAGCCTCTCAAGACGTCGGCATCATCGCCATCCTTGCCATCCAGGGTAGCCAGTGCATGACCAATGGGCGCAAGGAGACGTGACAGTGGCTCAACTTTGGCTTCTTCGGTTTCCAATGCTTGGATGAGGGCCGCGACGGCCCCGTATATGCGATGTCGCTCCGTCTCGCCGATGTCTCCTATCGAGGTCAACGATTCCATAAACTGAGGTAGTCCTTCACTGAGCATTCGTCGGTGGGAGTCGCACAGGCTGTATATGGCCCGTGAGGCAGCAGACGTTGACGCCTGCAAGTGCAACGAAGAGAAGAGAAAGTTGAGTATAGCAACCAGTTTGTCGGGATGCCGTTGGAAGTATCCCACATTTTCTGCGATGAATCTGATAGCAGTCTGCACCGCCCGATCTGGAACATTGTTGGCGGACTGGAGGAGATAGCTCCATGCCGGACTCCCCATGACTGTAGTGATGAGGACATCGTACGTGTCTGGGTTGGCTGACATGGTGTCGGAGAATGCCATCAGACTGAACGTGCCGGCCTCAAAGGTGCTCCAATCCGGAGGTGTAGCTTGCACAAGAATGCTCTTGACGATTTCCCCAACTAATGCATTCCCGAGAACCATGTAAGCCGAGAGGAAAAAGTCCTGCACGTCGTAACGAAAGTCTTGAAATTTCGCTCGGTCATCAGCATCCCAAGTTTGGGTCTCGCTGGACATCTCCTCGACCGGAATTCTGATCTTAAGGAGGCAGGCTTCGCATGCATTCGCCGCCAACCCCTTGAGCAACGCCTGGGTTGGTTCGGTCACATCCCCCCAGTCAGCATATCCCTCCATAATTTCGGTGATCCTCTCTAAGACGATTTGGCATACTGGATCCTCAATGACAGCGACCCCTTCGCAGGAGAGAAGCTGCTGGAAAGTTCGGATCACCATCCTGTACTGATGATCGTGCAGGAAATCAGGTTTGGTGATGTCGATGCGACTCATGATTGACTCGAGAAGATCAACATAAAGAACTGCGTCGGCAGTAAAGTCCCCCTGAAGAAGAAGATCGACCATTTCTCTTGCCTTGGGATAACTGGCAATACTGGCTGGGAAGTTCGGCAGCGCCTGTCGAAGGAGTTTGCCTGAAGAGTTCTCCAAGGAGATGAGCATTTGGAGCACCGAGCCTGTGTAGAATTCATCGTCGAGATAGTTGACTATTGTCGCGATGCATTCTCTGGCGATGCTTTCACTTCGTCGCGCCTGGCTAGTCTCTGCATATTTGATCATGCTGACCCAGTACGGTATGGCTTTCATTACCTGCTGGACCATGTCTTCCGATCGGATTGGTATTGCTTGCTCTGGCGGTGCTTCTGCCAGCTGCTGATCGATTGCACGCTTGACGCAATACCTCAGGAGGAGCCATACGTCTAGCGCACTATCCCCCACGAGATTGTTGAGCTTTCCTTGGTCCAGAGTGCTGGAAGAGCGACCGTTCAAGTCCTCCGCCATAATAGTAGCGATTAGGAGGACTCCCTTGAGCTCATTGTTCGAGCAGTCGTCGCAAGCTTCCAGAACTTGATCCATGTCTGGCAGAGCATCTTCAGAGACATAGTCCCTGCGGAGGAAAGAGGCCAGCACCTGTCTGAATGGAAGCCTCCAGCCGGAATCTGGCCTTGCAAAAAAGGTGACAAGAGTCGAACCGAGTTTCTGGAGGACGAAGCTTGAATCTGAGAGATTCACTAAGCGAATGTAATTTCGTACTAGCGCTTCAAGCAGGTACTTTCTCATGTGCTCATCCTTGTCCAAGCCATCCTGGTCCCTGAAAATCGCTTTAGCGGATTGTGCAAGGAAGGGGAATGTATTCTTGGTCTCTTACCAGTCAGCATTGATTTTGATGGTCAGGGTCAAGGCACCATAGAATCGTATGGTGGCTTCTCCATGATGAAGAAGGTCCAGAGCAAGTTGCCATGCTGACTTTTCTCGTTGAAGTCTCTGAATTTGTTTCTGGATTTCATTGATGCGCGCTGGTGACGGTTGATTAGTAGGTTGATAAAGTTCCCTTATCAACTGCTCCATGATATGTGCAACGCGGCAGCAAATAGTACATCCTGCTGCAAGCGCAGGAGAACAATTTCCAAGTGGTCAAGCTGCGTTTGCCGCCCTACTAGTGCGCCAGAAAACTGTAATGTGCCGTAACAGCATCAAGCGTGGAAGGTATGGCCTATACGAGGCATGGACCAACCTAGAGAATCAAATGCCCACACGAGAGATTGATGCCTGAACTAGTCGAGGTCCTGCTCGGACATTCGCAATGTGTCCAGTGATTGCCGTATAACCCAAGCAGGCACAAAGAACCTTTAAAAATGCGTAAAAACAGACATTACGCTGCGAATGTGCGTCTGGTCTCTCTCAAGTGTCAAGCAAGTGGTTGAGCAAGTTGAAAGTGACATACGGGCAAAGCCTTGTGAAAAGGCGGATGGGACGAGGTTCAGGCACAAGAAAGTCGCAGGCTATCACGAGGCTGCAGCCTCGTCGGTAAAAGATATTCGGCACGCTTGCCTAGTTGGGCATAAGCCAATGCGTGCCATGGCACGAATCAAGTTGATACGCGTGACATGGCATAAAGACTGGTTTTGAGATAGCTCAGTGTGAATGGTCCTCTTCTCATAGTGCCTTCTTTTCAAATGCGCTGGCCGTTCCTCCGTCTCTCGTCTTTGCTGCGTACCACGTCGCCTCGACCGCAAATACCTACCGCAACCCTCACCCCCTCACAATCTGTTCGGTCCTTCTCCTTCTCAAGATCGCAAAGAAGCGTCGATATGGAAAAGGTGGATACCACGAAGCGTCTGTCGCAGCTGCGAGAATTGATGCGGAAGCATGAACTTGATATCTACATCGTCCCCTCGGAGGACAGTCACCAGTCGGAATACATTGCACCGTGCGATGCGAGGAGGGCCTACATCTCTGGCTTCACTGGATCCGCGGGCACGGCTGTCATTACACTTGAGAAAGCTGCCCTATCGACGGACGGGCGCTATTTCAATCAAGCTTCCAAGCAGCTCGATGAAAACTGGCTGCTGTTGAAGCAGGGCATGGAAGATGTCCCAACCTGGCAGGAATGGTGCGAACCCTTTGAGCGTTTATATGTGCAAGACTGAGCTGAGATTAGGACTACAGAGCAGGCACAAGGCGGCAAAACTGTCGGCGTCGACCCTACCGTGATTACAGCCATTGATGCTCGCAAACTCAGTGAAACACTGAAAAAGAAGTCACATGCAACCCTGGTCGGAGTTTCGCAGAACCTGGTCGATAAGATTTGGACAGACAGGCCGCCTAGGCCGGCAGAGAAGGTTATTGTTCTCTCTGACAAATACGCAGGCAAGCCTTACGAACAGAAACTCGATGAGCTCCGCAAAGAGTTGAAGAAGAAGAAGGCAGTGGGAATGGTCGTATCAATGCTTGATGAGGTCGCCTGGCTTTTCAACCTCCGTGGCAGTGATATCCCGTATAACCCTGTGTTCTTTTCATATGCAACGGTTACACCGAGTTCGGCTACGCTGTATATCGATTCGGCCAAGCTAGACAACGAAGTGCGAGAACACCTCGATGGGACGGTCCAAATCAAACCTTACGATGACCTCTTTGGCGATCTCATGGGCATTGCCGAAACCGCAGTAAATGAGATTGAAGCTAACGGAGTTGCGAAACCCCGCTCCAGCAAGCTTCTGCTGTCGAACAAATCGTCTTGGGCGCTCTATCTCGGCTTAGGGGGAGAAGACAAGGTCGAAGAGTCTCGAAGTCCTCTTGCTGATGCGAAAGCCATCAAGAATTCCACCGAACTAGAGGGCATGCGGCAATGCCACATTCGTGATGGTGCTGCGCTGATTGAATATTTCGCCTGGCTAGAAGCAGAGCTACAGAGTGGATCGTGGCTCGATGAAGTACAGGCAGCAGATAAACTCGAAGCAATCAGGGCAAAGGGCGAGCATTTCGTCGGATTATCCTTTGACACTATTTCATCAACGGGGCCGAACGCAGCCGTGATACACTACTCACCCGAGAGGGGCAATTGCTCGACACTTGACGTGAATGCCGTCTATTTGTGTGATTCCGGAGCCCAATACCTCGACGGGACCACCGACACCACGAGGACATTACATTTCGGAACCCCCAGCGATATGGAAATCAAGGCATACACGTTGGTGCTCAAGGGCGTCATAGCTTTGGACCGAGCAGTCTTTCCCAAAGGCACCACAGGATTCGCCATCGACGTGTTCGCTCGCCAACATCTCTGGCGCGAGGGCCTCGACTACCGCCACGGCACCGGCCACGGTGTGGGTTCTTTCCTTAATGTCCACGAAGGCCCCATCGGCATTGGCACGCGAGCCGCATACTCGGAAGTCTCACTCAGCATCGGCAACGTCATCTCCAACGAACCAGGCTACTACGAAGACGGCAACTTCGGCATTCGGATCGAGAATATGATGATGGCCCGCGAGGCCAAGACGAACCACAAGTTCGGAGACAAGCCCTGGATCGGGTTTGAGCATGTCACTCTGGTCCCCATGTGTAGGAAATTGATTGATCCCAGTCTTCTGGATTCGGAGGAGAAGCTCTGGTTGAACGAATATCATCAGGAAGTGTGGGAGAAGACCAGTGGGTTTTTTGAAAAGGACGAGAGAACCACAAGGTGGTTGAAGAGGGAGACTGCTCCGTTGTGATGAGGGAACACTTACATCGGAGACAACCCATGGTTGATGGAAAACTAGATTTTCCTGCGCCGCCTCGATGACCCAACAGCCTGAGCTCTGTTGTATTTGTATTCGGTGAGCAATTGTTCGAGCGCGTGGGGTTGGGAGGAAGAGAGAGCATATGGTCCTGGACTAGAAGAGATGGTAGAATAGGATAATAGAATCAAGGCTACCTATCGCGAGACGAGCATGGTCTGCGTACTCTATCGGGGCTCTTGTACATGGCCCATGATAGGAAAAACGACTGCGGATATGTTGTTATTCTCAAGTACCAGCCGCTATTACGGCTCCCGCTCCGCAAGCGATGGTGGTAGTGCTCAGAGCGATCGTCGTACGAGCCCTCTGCCTCTCAATCCTTTCAGCCTTCCTTTTCGCCTCGGCCGCCTTCTGTGGATCTGGTACGTATCCTAGCTTGTAGAAGACTCGAAGACGGTGACGCGGATGGAATGACTCCTCGCAATTACATCTGACGCGGCGCTCAAGGAGAACGAAGCGACGCTGACCGCGGGAATCGGGTGGCCGACTCGCCGGAGACGTGGAGCAGCCGCGGTTTGCGAGCTCTGGCGACCGCCATGATAGGCCCTTTTCAGTTCCGACAGCGGTCGAAGGCGTTTGTCCAGATTTTGGCAAGGCACCCTTGATCGTCCAGTCTTGTCTATGAGGACGCTGTCGAAGGTAGTGTCGTACGTCATGGATCAACTCAGGATGACATGAGGAGACGGGCTCGAGAGCTAACAAGCCAGCGGGCACGCTTTTGAAGACTCCAGTCGACTTGTCTGACGGGTAGATCTTGCCGACAATTTTGTACCGCGGAGTCATATTGGATCGGGAGCGGTCCCCTTGGGATGTGGCTTGGCTTCTGCGGTGGCGTTTGCTCCTCTTGAACAACCGCCGGATGGGAGAGAAAGAGGACCATTTTCTAGGAGAGGAGGACGACAAGGTGGTTGTTGTATAAGACGACGAGGACGGCAGATCGTCCTGAAGCTCGCAGATCAGGAGTTTCTGCTCTTTGCGGAACACTTTGCATTTCTCGCGCTCAATGTTCTTGCGATCCGGATGCCAGTGTTCTCTGTAGAGGTCTGGTGGTTCAATACCTAGAGTTCTTCTAACTGATTTATGAGGCATAATATTGATGTTAGTCGCAGTAAAATGGGGTCATCGAGGACAGGAGGATAAGCTCGATGGCCGTGGAATTTGCGAGGAAGGTGGTATCCAGACAGCGGAGGAGGGGAGCAGCGGCGATGGTGAGAGAGAACTGAGATTGCGTTCTTGTCAAAATGGATGTGCCAGCAGTGCCTCACACCGGCGATCTTCTGCACGAGGACACAAATAATGGATACCTATGTCCTACCTTTCCAGGGAGAGCGGTGATCGAGTGAGAGCATGGTGCTTTGATGGTACCAGGAGTGTCGTATCATATTGAAACTGAGGCATGAAACAAAAGACATTTGAAAATGAGGAGAGTCACAACTCTTTCCAGCCTGTTGTGAGGGGATCATTTCCTAGGTGTGATGGAGATGCGTGGGGGATCAGAAGTGTATCGATGTTTTTGTCGTCGACACCTGAGAAGCGGTGACAGTAGCATATCGCGAGTCAACGGTCCTCTGTGCATTACCGGATAATCACGTGAAAATATTGATACTGTAGCGTATTACCCGATTCAAGTGCAAAATATACTTGTCACGTGCAAGATGAAGAAATGCAAACCACATACAAACAATTTTACTCTCTGCACTGCCGTCCAAGGCAAGCAAAAGCGAAATTGGGAGGCCCAACATGGCAGATAGCAACCACGCCACCACACTCAATGTTGCCTACTTGGGACCTGAGGCATCATTCTCCCACCAAGCAGCCATTGAAGTCTTTCGGGCGTCATCGTCGTCTGGGCATACTGTCTCTCTACATCCACTCCCCTCCTTCCCTGTCATTTTCTCGGCTATTCAAGCAACAGAAGCTTCTGAACAGACTATAAGCTACGATTTTGCGGTCGTCCCTTTCGAGAACAGCACCAATGGCTCTGTCGTTCCGGTCTTTGACTTATTAGCCCGGTGTGGCCATACCCCAATGCTCTATCCTGACTTGGAAGTCTGCGCGGAATATTATCTCCCTGTACACCATTGCTTGTTTGTCTCGCCTTCTTCAAGGTCAGCCACCACTTCATCCCAGTCTCTAGAACTGTCAGACGAACACAAGGGGGACTTGTTACGTGCAATCCGAACATTGTACACGCATCCCCAAGTCTGGGGCCAATGTAACCGTTATTTGGCTAAGCATTTTCCTCCCAACGTTGTGGAGCGCATTGATGTGGGAAGTACCTCTGCCGCTGCTCAGTTGGTGGCTCGAGAATCCCAACAGAAAAGCAAGACTCCGGTGACAGATGGGATCAGCGCTTCAATCAGCCCAAAAATCGCTGGTGAGAAGCATGACCTACTATGCTTAGCAGAGAACATAGAGGACGAGCCGGGGTTGAACACTACGAGATTTCTCGTCGTCCGCAACCGCAACCGCCAGACGCAGTCGGAAGATTTACACGCATCGTTATTTTTGCCCCATAACCACGTCGACGATTCAAGATACAAGTCCCTGATATCATTCACCATCCCACATTCCAAACCAGGCAGTCTGGCCGATGCATTGGCCGTGTTCAAGCACTACGGGTTCAACCTGACGAGCATTGACACCCGACCAAGCAGGACGCGGACCTGGCAGTATGTGTTCTTTGTGGAGTGTGAGGAGGCAAACCCAGATCAACACAATCGTGCGGTTGCGGACGTGGGACTGGCTAGGGATGACGCACGGGGAGGACAGGAGGACAAGAATGGCAACTCCAACCTCATGAAGATGCTCAGTGAGCTCGGCAAGTTCACCGAGACTTTAAGATATCTAGGGAGATTTGTAGACCAATCACCTAGGAATCAGCAAGAAGACGAATCAAAAGCCTGACAGTGACGGAGTACAACTTGATCTGACTGAAGTGAATCGCATGCAAAAACCTTGTGAGCAGGTCTCGAAGAAAGAGTGACTATCTAAAATTCGTTTGCACTGAACAAAGTTTGTGTGGCCCGCGGCTGCTATTTGCTGTTAAGATGTTTCGAGCTACAGGGTTATCGACTGTGATCCCTTCGAGGAACACAGACCGACTCGTTAATCTCGGACACAGCAAATTGAAGCCTGAGAGCGAACTTCCGGTAAGGACAAAACAGAAGTTGAGCTTGATGTTCAACGAATGACCAGCTCAATCGCATAAAAAATCAATATCGCAAAGCATTCAACTCCATCGTTCGGAGTGATGCGAGAGCTTCTTGCGTCTCTGGTGCGTGCCACACTCTCCTTTCTGTGCGGCGAGTAAAGTCGGACGCTCGCTCATTTGTCGGTGTACGCGGTTGTCTGAGACATTGATTGTGACGTCGGGCTTATATCAGATCTGATCCTCTCGTGTCAGCGGCTCAGTTGGACTGACGACCACTGCGCTGGCTGTCGAAGAAGATGACGAAGATTGTGGGATCTGAAAGCCGTGGCCAGTTCAGACCATGGCCATGTTCCGAAGGTTGGAACGTCCTGTGATCGGTCCCAAGTCAGATGTCAAGAAGTCTCTTAGTGGATTGTAGATGATGCCTTACCGTGGCGTAGGTCGAGGGTCTGCCTTGCTGGCGGCTTCATTGCTCGCTCAGCGCGCGTGAAGGCACTGTCCTTGGTGCCCAATCCGTTTAGTCGAATCAATTGTGGCTTGCCGTTGGTGTAAGCACTTTCCAGATGCGTCCCTGCTTGCTGCGGCTGGGACTTTGGGGCGTCGCGAGGACGCTCAGGAGAGCGCGGAGCTGCCGTCAAGCTGCCGTCAACAAACTTGGGTGGTTGTTGAACAAGGCCTGGAGATGGATGCTCCTCGCGCTCTCCTGCGAGGTCGTTGAATTGTCAATCATCATAGAATTCGTCTTCGTCATCAGCGTCAATCAACTGCTCAAAGTTGACCTTGTAGCGCAAAATGGCGCCAATACCACCAAATCCCTTCACGAATTGATTGCCCTCGCTGGAGCGATCCGAAACGAACTCTAGGGTGGCGCCAAAGTCCTTGTATTTCTCGGCGAGCCATTCAAGAAACGAGCTTTGGTCAACGACTTCCATTTCTTGACCGGTCTCCTTGTCCATGAATTGTTCGCGATTGGCTTCTTGAGCCTTGGTGGTATGCAAAATCCTCTCTGAGCCGTCCGAGGCCTTCAGAACCCAGCGAGTTACGTCCAAATTCTCGTAAACAATCAGTGTTTCGGCCGCACCAAGTTCGAGAGCTTTCAATGTGTCTTCGACACCGTAGCAGACGCGACCGCTGTCTTGACTGATTTCCTCGAAATACTTGCCAATCAATTTCTTCTCTTGAATGAACTTGACATTACCAAGAGTCTCGGAGGCGAGATCGATGGCTTGATTGAATCCATTTTCACCACCATACGACACGTCGACTACCTTGATGACTTTTGCTTGAAGACGTGCGTCGAACATGTCGGACTGATTCAAGTCATTTTTGAAGTCGGCGGAACCGGCAAGGACGAGGCCCGCAACGTTGACCTTGTCATTTGTGATGAAGTTCTGAACAGCCAACTCTGCGACTTTTCGCACATAATTGTGTCGCTTTTCTTCTCTGAGACGGGCGAAACGTAGGGCAGACTGACCACCTCGACCGTGCTTCTTGGGCAGATCGACGGAAAATTTGTGAACGACTTCTCGGGTGTTTCCGCTCAGAGTCCCAAAGAGCGCGCCGTTGCCGTCCATGACGATGAAGCCAAATTTCTGGTCAGACTCGAGGAGTTCGCTTAGGGCCTCAGTGTGAAATTTGTTGTCGCAGAGGTAGAGAGAGGTGTTGATGGGCTTGAAAGGCTCGAAATCTATGTTGATCTTTCTTTCTTTTCCTTCCGAGGTTATAATTTCACCGCAGTATACCACCAAGCCATTCGGAGGAACCTTGGAATACAACTTCAGACGCTGTTGGGTGGAAGTGATAGCGGAGAGGACCGAGAGACGGTTGACGCGAGACTTGATGTTGGAGGCAGTGCCGAATTCTTCAGCCAACATTTTGGCAGCGCGAGAGACTTGATCCTTGGGTGCTGTGGACGAGTCAGTGGTGAGCCAGAAGATGTACAGTCATTAGGGGTGCCGACTCACGGATAATGAGAGAGATCATTGAGGTGCCATTGCCCCTGGCCGCTTCGAGGCGTTTGATAAGTTTCTTGACCTTCCAGATCTCGATATTCTTTTCCGCTTCGTTTTGCTGAGGTGCGCTCATTTTTGCGGGCGGAGGCCGAGCAGAGACGTGCCTGCTGGTGGTGGGAAACGGTGCACAATGGTAGAAAGTAAGCAAAAGGGAGAAGCAGGCGAAGGAGTGTTTTGAAATCTGAGTCTATGTCGAGCGAGAAAACCAAGGGTGGCGTTGAAATAATGTCAATACTTTTGAGACGAGTGGTCGTCCAGTGGGAGTGGGTGGGCTGGCTGGCTAGGCGGTGCTGTGCTGGCAGTCAGTAGTTTAGGCACTGGAATAGTGGTGCTGCCCACCTATGATTATGGTTAAAGCGGGCCCGCCTGGCCTGCAATTGTTTGGTTCGGTAGTGTGTTCCAAGCGCAGCGAGTCATGTCCAGTCATGGATGAGTCACGTGAATCTCCCTTTACCGTTATCAAGCAGAAACTTCCCCCGCCGCCACCAAACTGCGATTCCGCTCCACTTTGCCCACTGGCTATCAAGAAACAGCTTCCTTGGGTTTCGCCGCTGCTGGTTATCGTCGGTTAAGAATGAATGTTTCTATGATCTACCACTAGCTCATGATTTGGAGTAGATTGCCTATCCTTCAGAATCTGAAGAATTCTTTCTCTCCTCTGGTCCCGAATTTCTCTTCGTTGAAGAACTGCTTGTACTCGGTATTATTGTCCGCCTAAGCCCAGGAGGTTTCGTGGATTGTTGTGTCTGTTTACTGTGTATCTCAAGAGCTTTACGAGACATGATTTGACACGACAGATTGTGAACCCAGATTCCTAACGTCATTCCTACACCTCTGAATCTTTACCCTCTGCCCTCTGCTCGCCATGAGCTCGAAACCTAGACAGGCTCCCACAAGTTGGGATGCATACGAGCGTGGTCGTGCGTCGTCCTTCGGTTCCCTCGAGTCTGTGCCTGAAGACGAGCAGCAGAACAATCTCTCCTCGTCTACTCCAGCAGCACACCGTTTCCCATCGGAGAGCCAAGAGCATAGAGGATTGCGACGCAGATCATCGTTTGGCAAGAGAATTGACCAGTTCATGCAGATGGGTGGACCCAATAGTATCGACAATTTTGCAAAGTCGTTCCAAAGAGCTGCAGGGTTTCGCGAAATCACGCCGGTGCGGAGGAACTCGATCAGCTTCTCGGAAACCGATCAAGAGGCAGCTCCAGGTGCACCTGAACAGAGTACGGCGGCGGCCAATAGGTCACTTCTGAGACAGCAGCTGCAAAATTATGATTTTGGTGCCGAAAACGAGTCAGCCCTACAGGATGAACGGGCGCCAGGCAACCAAGAGCCGACAGAAGAGTCTGCTCTCTTGCCTACTGAAAGCAGGCAAACCCTCAAATCCACGACAAGCTCTCTCGTCCCGGGCTCGTTACTGCCGAATGAGCTGGGCACAAGCTATGGAAGTATCTCTTCCAAGTTGACAGCTACTGCTCGGCAACGAGCGACCATCCTTATAATGGAGCAGGAAGAAGCCAGCAGGAGAGCACTGCAGGAGCCAGAAGCATTGAAGGAAGAACCTCAACGACACATTGAACGGGAAGTCCTCCCCGATGGAGAAGTCATGGAGCGAATAGTCGGCGAGTCAACCGTTCCTATGACCGTCTTCAACTCCACGAATGTGTTGATTGGAGTTGGCATCCTGGCCCTGCCACTGGGTATCAGGTACTCCGGATGGGTGATCGGTCTCTCCTTCTTGACTCTTGCTGCCATCGGCACCTCATACACCGCTAGATTGCTGGCAAAGTGCTTGGATTCAAACACGGGCTCAACCACGTACGGAGACATCGCATACTTGGCGTTTGATACTTGGGGCAGACACTTTGTTGAGGCCTTGTTCATCTTGGAGTTGACGGCTGCAAATGTCGCCCTGATTATTCTGTTTGCGGACAGTATGAACTCTCTGATCCCTAGTGTCTCCGTGATCGAGTGGAAGGTCATTATTGCTGTTGCTCTCATACCGTTGAATTTTGTTCCTTTCAGAACCCTGAGTGTCACCAGCGTCATTGGCATCTTCTGCTGTCTCGGCATCATCATTATTGTCTTTGCAGATGGCCTCATCAAGCCCAATGCCCCTGGCTCTTTGAGGGACGTGGCTCAAACCTGGGCGTTCCCCGAAGACTGGAGGACTGTTCCGCTCAGCCTGGGTCTATTCATGGCACCGTGGGGTGGTCATAGCGTCTTCCCGGCCATATATAAGGACATGCGACATCCACATAAATACGGACGAGCTTTGAAGTATACCTACTTCTTCACCTTCGGCCTTGACCTGTCTATGGCTGTGCTGGGGTATCTCATGTTCGGCGACAAGGTACGCGATGAAGTGACCTCTAACATCCTCCGTTCGACCGCCTACCCTCACGTCCTATCCGTCATCATCGTCATTCTTATCGCCATCATCCCTATCACCAAGATTCCGCTTTCAAACCGGCCCGTGATGGATACGCTCAATAAAAAGCTCTACATCGACCTCCGCCAGATGGATCCCAAGGCGCGCGCATACAGTGAGCGGTCGCTGAAACACCGCGCCGCCCGAGGCCTCATTGGTATATTGGCCAACATTATCCAACTTGGCATCGCCGTTGGTTTTCCCGATTTTGACAGCATCATGGCTCTTATGGGGTCGGCTTTGTGTTTTACCATCTGCATCATCCTGCCCGTCAGCTTTTATCTGGTTATTTTTAGCTCCGAGGGCAAGGAGATTGGGCTGGCCGAGAAGATCCTCGACTGGATCTTGTTGGTGGTTTGTATCACCCTGGCGGTGTTGGGGACTGTATTTGCTATTTTGCCCAAGCACAAGATTGGGGCTTCGGTTTGACGATCTGCAATCAGTAAAAACAGAGATACTTTTTGAGGACATGGACATTGGGAGAGGAAATTTTCGACAGACAGCCTTGTAAGATTTCCATGGCCTGGGAGGGATTGTCGTCTTGCCAGATAATTGATAATAATACACTTGTATATAAAGACAGGAGGATGTCATCCGCTGCCAGAAACCCATTTCCAAGAGTGTGTTGACAGCCGTGCGGGAACCTCGCGTACCAGTCCATACGGTCTCCTTGACATGGGCGTGAGATACTTCGAATTTTTTGTTTTCCGAGGTCAAATGGTAAACTAACCGATTCCCCACGCTTTCCACCCCGATGCGTTTCTCCCCTCAATTCTAGTTTGACTTTCCCCCGGAGATGGCGAAGCCACTGGGGTTCCGGCTCAAGAACTCGACCTCCTCGGGCGTGCTCTCCCGGCCCAGCGCGGCGTTCCGACTGGGGAACCTGCCGAAGCGCAAAATGACGTCGCGGTGCGCCTTTGCAAAGTTGCACGAGCTCTGCACGAACTTGTTGGCTTCCTCGACCGCCACGGCCGCGCGGGGCGAGGTGGCCGTGAAGGACCCCGCGAGGCAGCGCGTGGAGAGGTTGTCCAATAGCGAAATCCCCGCGACCTGGTGGGCGAGGCTCTCGGCGTGCATCAGCGGCATGTAGAAGAACATGGCCATGAGCGGCGTCAGATCTGGCGAATGGTCGAATTCCCTGGCGATCGACACCACAGCGAGGTCCAGGGCCTTTGCGTCCGATGAGAATGAGAGGCCCGAACCGCGGTAGATATTGCGCGGGAACTGGTCGAGGAGGACGATCAGGGCGAGGGAGCCTAGCGGGGTCGAGCGCCACGAGTCGAGCGAGTCATTGCGCGCCTGCTCGACCAGCGACGAGAACTGCGTTCGGATCTCCGAGTCGATAAGCTCCGCGTCCGGAGGCATGAACCACTTCTCGGTCGGGTTACTGTCGGGCGACGACGGTGGCGGGAACCAGTAGTCGAGCACGCGGGCGATTTCGCCTTGGTGTTCCGTGGATATTGCTGGCATGGTCTGGACGGCAGAGGTGGCGTTGGTGGAATAGAACCAGGGCGCGACGAACCCCTGGAACGCGGATTGAAGCTGGAGGACCTTTGTTGGACAAGAGGAACGAGGCAGCCGACGGTTTAGCACGTGTAGACGCCTCCGTGAAACAGCAACCGGGCGAAAAGAGGAGTTTCGTGGGGCATGTAGATGTGGACGTAGAGACAGAGGAGAAGCTGGGAGACGGCGTACCCTTGCAAAGGCCTGATCAAGGGCGGCCTTCATTTGATTGATGGTAGTTGATCAAATCGACGTCTTCAAGTTTAATCAGAGTCTCGATTTGACGGTGTTCGGTTCAGACAGGGGTTATAAGCACTCGCGAAGCTTGGGCCTAGAGTAAGAACTTGTTTTGCTTGGGTGAAGTCGAATGCACCTCGTAAACAAAGACACCGAGACAACATGTCCGAATCTCTCTCGAACGTCATCAGGCTGACATTCCACCACAAGGCTGACCAATAAAGTCCGGTATTTACTTTCACGTGATTTTGAAGATAGTCCACGTGATATGAAAGGCTGTCGTGTCAACAACCTTCAGACCATCAGTGAAGAGAGGCTTTGATGTGGTCCAGATAGTATTGGTGAAGGTTTCAACGGCCATATAGCACTGGGAAAGTTGAGCATAAGCCAGCTTCGTGACAAAAAAAGTGCACTGTTCCTCCCATGGCGATACCATAATGGTTCGTATCTAATGTGCTTTCTAGAAATGCGTGCAATCTGCGGTAGCGACTGTGAACACATCAACAAGCTGTGACTTCCAGAAAAGCAAAAGTGAACACAGACAGTAACCAAGACTCCATGCTCCATGCTCCATGTTAACAATGTAGAGCTCTCCAAAACTGTTATCTTGGAACAAAGCGAGGCTGTACATCTTTACCAGGTACTCGGGTCCATGTAGAACCCACACCTTTTTTGCATTCACAGGTTAACATCGTGAAGCCAGACCTGTTGCTCGACTCGGTGGGAGAACCGACTGGCAGCAAGGATCTCGACCATCTGCTGCTCACTGACAAGCAGCTCCTGCTTAGGGATGAACCATCGCAAACCCTCGCTACAAGGTGGGGTGGTTAAGCTGCCCTTGTAGGTCCAAAACTCCTCGACACCGCCGACCTCATCGATAGCGAGACGCATATTGACGG